CTGGGGTTTGAACTCAGGGCTTCACACTTGCTAGTTAGGTGCTCTACCACTTTAGCCTCTCTGCCATCCTTTTTTTGGTGTTGGGTATTTTAGAGATAGGGTCTTGCAAACTATTTGCCCTGGCTGTGGCTTTGATGTGAGCATCCTGATCTCTGCCTCCTGAGTAGCTACGATTACACCACAGGCACCCAGCTTAAAAGTACTTTTTATGTGTGTTTTAATTTAAGGTGAAGGCTCAATTAAACCTCCACACAATCCAAACAGAAGTCGTTGAATATTTTAAAGAAATAGGTGACAGGAAAACAGAAACTTCTTCCGTGCTGCTTATTCCTAGAAATGTGAGTGAATGCATAATGATAAGCTCTATCATTTTTTTTCAATAGCATTGTTAAAATATACAATTCTTTAAGTAAAAAGCATGACTCTTATTACAGAATGTAAACCTGAAAAACATTTAATCATTGATGAAAGAACATGATGGCAGGTAAGTGAGCAATGGAAGAGCTGAGTGGATATGGGCAATGAAGAAAGAATTCAAGAATAAAGTTGCCAGGTTAGATGCAAAACCAGTCAGTGTTCTTCACGGTAATAAAACTGTAACCTTTGGGGTTATCTTTTCTACCAGACAGAATTTATCTGCATATCCTCTAGACAAAAGTCATCAAGTACATGTAATCTCAGAGTCTGGGCCTCAATCAAGAGAATTAAACAGTCTTGGGTGGGTCTGTTAGACTGGGCCCCTTAAGATATTGAAAGAACATGAAATCCTCTTTCTGCCTTCTTTCTAAATGTTGGATGCTTTTCCTTAACATAAGATACAAATTTACATATTGGCAGCAGTGGCTTTCAAGTTTCCAAATGGGGTTTGCTCTTAATATTAATCTGCTTTTCACCATCTTTTGTGTCTGTTTTCAATCAGGAAGGAAAATGACCAACAAGCAATTCTAGCATTGCAGTAATGTCCCATTATAAAAATGAAATAAATTTTAACATTGTTTGAATACTCACCTTGATGGATACTAAAATATTTTATTAGTAATTTAAATTTTTTTATCAGGACAAAAAAGTTTACATATCTGCTTTCGATGATGCAGCCAGCAGCCCGAAACAACGCAATTACTCTAATGCAGTTTCAAAATTTATAATATGTGATTTTCGGTTTATTAACTTTGGGCAGATACTGATTTGCCACTCAGCTTTCTCTCTGTAACAAGCAGACTTGCTTCATGCCTATGTGTGCTGGCCACACAAGCCTGGGGTCACACCACTGTACTCTTATTTTACTGCTATATGCAAATTCGCAGACCGTAATTTCTAAAGTTTCCCTTTGTTATCATTTGTCTTTTGCTATAATGGATTTGTGCTTTTACTTTCTTATAACTTTTAAAAGCACAAACTGGTTTTTATTCTTACCAATTGCTTTGTTTTTCCAAAAACAAAAATAAAATTGTGTTTAATATCCTTCCTTCTTTCCTTTCTGTAGAGTGAAAGTGTCTTTTGATGTTCCCTAACATTAGATGTGAAATGTAACAAATCTCTCTCCCTCTTTGACCAAATACCACTTTAAGTTGGAATCTTATTCCCCTAATTTATTGTCACATTTCTTAGAAAATGCTAACATTTGAATTTATTATAGAAGTTGTTAAAATTAGACACTTAGATCACATAGCAACTGTTCTGTCTGTTTCTCACTAGGCTCTTGAAAAATTATGCCACGTTCATCAACAAATTTTTTTTAAAAGCAATAATCTATTAGCTAGAACACCCCAAATAAATTCAACATTGTACTTCCAGGCAGGGACATATTCCCTAATTTCCTCAGTACAAGTTTCTAGCCAGTGCTAGAATATCACAGTGAAGCAAACTAGAATCGTGCTACATATCTGAAAAAACAAGAATAGGTGGCAGGAGCTGGCAGAATGGCTCAAGTGGTATAAGTGCCTGCTTAGCAAGCATGAAGCCCTCAGTTCAAACCCCAGCACTACTTAAAAAGAAAAAAAGAGAAGCCAGAAGAGGTGGCATCTTGGAGTTTTGTGCATGTGCTGTTAGTGTGTTTAAAGCACCTGTGTCATCTTTGGCTTTATAAAGGTGTTTGTATTATTAAAGCATAGTTTGCATGCAAGAACACAATGAGACTCAAAAGACTTGAAAACAAGGTTTTTAAAAAGCGGTGCAGGAATGTGTTGAATATATTTTAAAACTGCCTAACTGTACACTTCAACTGGATGAGTAGTATATGAATTGTATCTCAATGAAGCTGCTTAAAAATGCATCATAAAAAAACAACATATTCATGTTTTAATAGTTGATGTGCAAACTACTTACTTTCAAATTGTCATTAGAGACATTATTTTCCTTGTCCAAATGGCTTATCTTCCTATCTGTGCACATCATGGGATAAAATGGAATCTATAATTTATCTGATTAAAATTAATGGAATTTTTTGGTATTAATGGCTGCTTTTCACTTAGAAGCAGCATTTTCAGAAACAAATTGAAGTCATTAAGTAAGAAATACCTGAAACTTTGAGTTAAATTTTTAAGGAGGCTAGACTCAGCAGAGGTGCAGACATTGAAATGAGGGTCTGTGTAAATACTGAACTGATGTCCCCTGAATGGCAGGGATAAAATATATTATGCCCACTGAGAAATTTTATGAGCTGCAAAATGGCAGAAGGCCAAGACAATGTTTAGGGTAGAGATGCCAGAGAAGGCCAGGAAAAAACAGGAAAGATATAGAAAAGATCAATCAGATAATGACTAAAAGCTGACTTGCGAGTCTAGCTTGCTTTTCTACCAGCTGCACTACAGTTTGCTATCACAAAGTCAGTCCGTGGGCTTCATTCAGTTCCAGGCTTCCAAAAAAAAAAGACAAATAGCTGCATGCTTGTCAACTAGTGTTAAGAATAACTTTCTAAACCCAGTAAGTAACTTAAGTTCATTTATCCCGTTTTACTGTGCATTGTGAAAAGACAATTCTTATAACAAACCACAATTCTTTTCTGCTTTGTTTTTGTAGAGGAAAATAAAACTGGAAGACAATATAGTTTGGGTACTTTTCTCGTAGAAAAAGGAAAGAACTTAAACACTGAAGTGTGGGAAAGAGAAACAATAATATAAAAGAATATTTTTACAGTAAGGGTATTATTTAGTCACTGAGAAACTTAGAATCTAGATGTGTGATGCCTAGTTCTGAAAACATAAATGAGGCAAGTACATTATTCTTTAGCTATTTCCAGTAACAAGAGGAAAATTAGTGCCTGGGTCCTCACTCAGCAAGTACTAATTCTAAACTTCAGTGATTTCTGTTTTTTTTTTTTTCTAAGAAATGAAGAAACGTTGAATAATAAAATCTAGCAAACCAAATAAATTTTTAAACAAGTTTTCTTTTCCATATTACATTTGATCCCAGACAAGAGTAAAGAAAAGAGTATGAGTCAAGAGAAAATAACGTTGTTTAAGTATTACTTAAGAATTTTATTCTCTGGGTAGAATGACTTTTAACTCTCCTAAGATTAGAGATTCTGCTTTTTAAAAAGTTTTCTTAAAAGGGATTTTTCTGTTTTCATACAACTTTATAGATTCTTTTAAAGGCATGTCTAACAAACAGATAAAACCTTTTTCAAAAATATGAATAATTCTAGAATTATAGGCTTCATTTCTGGTCATCAAACTTAATTTCCTCTTCCTAGTCACTTACCTGCAGCCCAAATTCTCCACACACTTTGCCAGATATTATTTATGAGCTACAAATGGGGCATTCACTTTGCCTGTTTCATGAGATCACTTTTACTCAAAAAAACCCTGTGAAGGCTGATGACAGTGATTACATCTCCGGCCCAGGAGTTCCACTGTGCTTCTTCCGGAGATGCCAGGGAAGCACTTTTCCTCTCTCCCGGTGACAGTGATTTCCACCCCAGAACAGCCTTCCCAAGGCAGTCATCAACTAGTTTGGGAGACCTCAAAATGAGGGTTTGAATCTTTGAAAGCCAAACCACAGCAATAAAAATTTAAAAGTGTAGAAGGGATGTGCTGGCTTTGGCCTGCTTTCTCTCCCCCAGTTCGTTTACTAGCAGCACCTAAATGACACAGAATTTCTAAGCTTGTCATTTACATTTATCAGCTCCTCACCTCTCTATCCACCATACTCATTACATAAAGAGTATGAACAGTGCTTGACTTACAGTAAGTATTCAGTAAATGTTGACTGTGTCATTAACTATTGTCATTCCAAAGACAGAAAACTATGTTTAATATTTAAATTTAAGCCTATCTTATCAAAGATTTCTAGAGAAAATCAAGTGTAGGTTGAATTCTTTCTTTCAAACTACTCTCCTGTAGGACATGTGTTTATTTTTAAGCCTGAATGTCCTGTCTCTCTAACCCAGCCACATAAAACAGCTTTATTCTGAAAGTGAGTGCTGTGGGGAGTAAATGGGCAGAGCAGAAGGTGATTCTACAGTAAAAGAACTCAGATGTAACAACACAATGCGATGCTATTTGACTGGCTCCTAGACCCAGAAACAAAAATGTACACATTTTGGAAATACTTGTGGGGAAATGTGAATATGGGCTGGGTACAGAGGACATTATAGAATTACTAATTTTATTAGATGTTTTAATGGTGGCGTGTTTAGAAAGGTGTGTGGGTGTCTTTATTCTTGGAAGATACAAACTAAAAAACATAGAAGTCAAATATTGTGGTATTGGTATCACATTCTCAAATGGTTCAGCAAAAAAGGTTTGTTTTTAAATATTGTGAAAAAGAAAATGTGGCACAATGTTAACTGATGTTTATATTATACTTTCAATTTTATGTAAATGAAAAGCATTTTAAATAAAAAGTTGAGAATTAAAAAATAGCAAAAATAAGTTTTACCAAAGTACCACACATCATTACTTTAAATATTTTATTGTAACAACAGTTCACATTGATATTACTTATTTATGCTTTATAAAAAAAGCAGACCTAGTCAACATAAAGTTTCCCAACCTGAAATTAATAACCTTAAATACATCACTTAACTTTCAGTTCAAATGCATCAAGTAAATCAAAATAGCTCAATATCTATTTTAAATTAAAGCCAATTAGATGCAGGTGTAAGGATCATAATTAACATTTCAATCAAAAATTTCAATAATTATTTTCAATATTTCTTCTTTGTTTTTCTTCTTTGTCTAGAACAGTCTGTTTTAAGCTTAAAGTAGCATCTTGAAATTGAGGATTCAAGTCTAATACCTTCTTGAAGTCTTCCAAAGCATCATCGAAATATCCTATGCCGGAACCCAAAAAATGGAAGAGAAAAAAAGCTGAATGTTTCTATATTTTATTCACAGCAAAGTCTGAATATACATACGTTTACTTTTACATTTACAAACTTTAAACCACTCCTAGTAAAGGAAGCTTTTTCTCTTATTTTTGTTATTTTTATTAGCATGTATTAGTTGTTCGGGGGATTTCACTGTGACATTTCCATGTATGCTTAATATACTTTAGAGTTAAATTCACCCCCACCATCATTCTCCCTCCCTCCTCCTTCCCCCTTTACGTAAAACAATTTCAACAGGTTTTTTTTTTCTATTTTAATACAAGTATATAAAGTACATAGATCATATTCACCCTCCCACTACTACCTACCCCCAACAGGACATATTTTACATTCCTGTCCTTCATTTTTTCATTATTCAAAGGCATTTCACCATGATATTTTTCCCATGCATATATTGTACTCTAATCAGATTAATCCCCTGTATTACCCTCCTTTCCCCACAACCCCTTACTATTCAACAGCTTTCAATGTGTTTCATTATGCATCTTCCTACACTGGTGCAATATTACTCACTTTGTTTTGTTTTGTTTTTGGCAGCACTGGGGTTTGAATTCAGAGCCTCATACTTGCTAGGCAGGTGCTCTTATGGCTTGAGCCACTCCACCAGCTATTATTTACTTTCTACCATTCTCTTTTCCTTTCCTCCTCTCCCTAGTCCCCTCTAATAGGTCCACTATTACAGACATGTTCTCCTTATATATGTATATATGATCATGTTTATATTTGTGTACACATTTATCTTTTGTATCTACATGGAAGCCTTTTCTCTTAATAGTAATAAAGGGATCTCCATATCAAAGTAATTTTGTGGCCTTTATTTACACAAGTTAACAAGCAAGTATCATAAACCATCATAAAACTTCAACAAAAATGTATTCTCTTTTACACAGTTGCAGCAAAATTGAGAAATAGGTTTTTTTTATTTTAAATAAGAAAAGGTACCCACAATTCCTTTAATCCAGAGATCTAAAACTTCACTTTCTATTGTCTCATGTGTCTTCAGATGTTAACTCAGAGGAGTGTCACAGGTGATCGTCAGCATTACCCTCATTTTGCAGTTGGGAGCACACAGGCATACGGTAATGGGGTCAGCCCCACTCCTGTGCCCAGAGCCAATTCCCACCCCAGTGCTCTGCTGAGATCTATAATGCCTAACAAATGCCCCAAAATTCCCTCAGGTACGCTTCCTTTGTTCCAAACTCCAAACCTAAATTTCATATAACTTTAAAACTTGATGATTACTATACCCGTTGTATAACGGCTGATGGCTCTGAAACTATAACAGAATAGTCAGTGAAAAAAATCTAAAAACTAAATTAAAAAAAAAATCTTACCCAGCCTGTAGAGTATCAACCCTCTGTTGTAATATGGAACTTCAAAATCGGGTTGGACTTCTATGGCAGATGTGTAGTCATCCATGGCTTCGTAAAAATCAACCCTGAAGTACTTGATTTGCCCCCTGTTGTTATATGCAGTAGCCAAATCCTCAGGGCTGCATTTGCTTTAAACAAAAAGTCCACATTAAAAACACTGTGGTACCAAATTCCTCTCATTTCCACTTTCATTCTCTTTTGGGCAAGGTCAAATTTCATAGCTTATAACATACTGTGAAAAAGCAAGCTGAGGAAGCAAAGTGCAAATAAACAAGGACTCTAAATCAATTTTTGTTCAACCCTATTATCCACTTTTATATGGTTATGGCACATCCATATGAAAAGCACATGAATTTTACAGTGTTCAAATCACATTCATTGCCAATGCGTTTTGCTGAAGATATTAAAATGATTTGTGCACATTTTCTAAGCACACACTAGTGAGAAAGGGAAGAAAGCTCAGACATCGGCTGAGGAAGAAGTGAAAGCCAGCCGACAGTTCAAGTGTGATATGGATGTGTTGCAAAGTGAATTATCAATTTTACTCTCAAATTTTAAGTTACTTTAAAACAATGAGATTTTTAAGTCATTTTTCACCAATAAAGAAATAAAAGTTAACCATAGGTGACAATTCAACACACTGATGCCCAGAGAGTGATCTCTGGGGTAGAGGTGCCCTCCTTCCTGTCTTGGCTGCTCCCTGTTAACCCCGTCAATGCCAGGTTTGCTTTCTGCTAGGCAGTTGAGCTCCAGTCCACTTTGGAGGTCCTGTGAGCAGAATCAGCTCTAGAGGCTGCCCCAAGCACTTGAAGTGAACAGACTTTCCCATAGGTGCCAGACATCCAGCAGGTCTGAGCAGCTGCCAATTCACCGAGTCACAGCTCCCTCCTCCTTATTGCCCTGAACCTTTCTCTCCAGAGGGCAGATTATCTATACAGAGAATGTTAGGAATCATTCTGAACCAAACAGAGAAGCTGCAGGTTCCACATAGCTATTTTTTCTTTGCTATATCCCAAAGTGCAAAGTAGAGTTGTTAGGAAATATTTGTGACTGCAGTCAGCTACTTCCCTTAACACCCTGATCTTTGAGAGCTCAGACAAGGACTGTAACTACTGCTACCCATGCAGAGGTACTTGAAGTCTAAATTTGCTAACAGTGGAGAGGAACTGCTGCAATTTTAGAAATTTTCTGTTCTGTGATCGCTAAGAGACTGGCACAAGAATACTTGTGAAGGCCACTAGCACCACCAGACGACAAAGGGTACACACCCTTCATCTGTCCATTAGGACATGAGTTGAACTGCTGCCCAGGAGAATCTGAAGGAAAATGAAGCCTCAGGACTTCACTAAGACTTTATTCACTACATCTGAAGTGTCAAAGCTTTGTTATACATTCTTATATTCAGAGGATCATAGCATGTTAGATTTAGAATTGCATCTCACTACAACAAATTCTAAAAGCTTATTTTTCATGCAGAAATTTTGTTTCTGAGCAAAATTTTTAAAGAGATGAGCTAACAGTTAAGGTTAATTTTTTTTGTAATATTGAGATTTTTTTGTAAGGATAGTATTTCTTACATTGGAATTTAACCAAGTTACCTATTCCAAATGTGAATTCTTAGCATTCGCTAGAATTGGCCAAGACATAATATTTGAAAATTAGGTTATGGCTAAATGTGCACCTTTGGATATTAAAAAGAAAATGTGATAAAATATCCAGAGTGAAAGGTATTCAAAGATTGCAAATATTGTTTCAAAATGATTCAGTGCTCCAGTATTTCAAAAATAAATTTAAACTCCAGAAGATATGTCTAGGGAAAAAAATTGATGTGCCAATACATGCATTCCTAGAATTTTAGAACTAAAAGGAAATTGAAGGCTCATTTTACAGATAAGAAACTGAGGCTAAGAAAAGGTGCTAGTGATATGGCAGAGCCAAGATGAGAACGCAGGCACGCTGGACTCCCTTCAGTGAAGCCTGGCTGATCCTCGTCTCCTGGGATGGACCCTCGAGTTCTTAGGCTGAGACAGCATCCACACACCTGTTGTCGATAAGTGCGTTTTTTTACTTTGTTTTGTTTTTGATTTTTTTTTGAGACCTATTAGGTTAAGTCTATTCTTAGAGCTTGAAACAAGAATAGAAAATTAAGTTCCTATGTATAGGAATAGTGGCCCCAAACTCGTGCCTATTCAGAAGCTTCTATTAGCGAAGTATTATTAAATTGAGAGAGCAATTTTATCTTCTGGTGTAATTCCACGTGAGGCTGAGGATGAGAACTGAGTCTTCAGTGTTTAGCTAAGCCCCCTACAAAAGACAAGCCTGTATCAATCAATCAAAACCAAAACCTGGCAGGAAGAAGAGGGCGATGGTGCAGACAGTTCACGTGACTGCCAGAAACAGGCCACCTCCCTCGCTCCCTCCTCACCCTGCTAGGTCCCCTCCACTCCATCAACACGACAAAGGCGAAAGCTGGAGTAACACGAAATGCTCCACTTCCGGAGTAAACTGAAAATGCTTCAGACAAGCGGCTACCACGCGAGGCTGTTCCCAGCAGAAAAAGGAAAACCGGTGGACACTGCACACATCCGGGAGGCGGCACCTCCCCACCATTAAAGCTCTTCCCAGTGTGGAGTGAGCTGGATCAAACTCAAGGAGAACCTACAACTCACAAGCATCCAATGACACTGCAAAGACATCTAGCAAATCCTAAATGTGGAAACGAAGGGCGGAGAAATGCGTTTTCTCAACAAACTACAATTTAAAGGGGGGGCGGAGTGGCCTGAAGATTACGAGGGACCAGATGTGCACCCTGACTTGGACCAACTGCTAAAAACGCACCAAGCAAACAACAAAGCGCGGTTACTGGTCATCAGGGAGTTCCACCCGTGCACGGGCAGTTGGTTACGGGATTCCGCTGTGCTGTGGCTGCGTCTTTTATTAAATGATCCGTAAGCTTTAGAAGCATCCCTGCATAGGTCATGTGAGGTCTGGGTGGGCCGATGGTGCTTAAGGTTGGCTCTGCTCTTTTCCAGTAAAATGCTCTCCGTAACCAGGCAGGACGCAAAGCCGCCGCAGCGCCGCTGTGCGTGGAGAGACCGCAGCGCGCTCCGGCATGGCACAGCCCAGCCGGGACCCCTGCCCCTCTCAGGTCTCGCTGGTGCGGCTGTTAAAGTGCCGAGGGAACGGCCCGTCGGCTCCACCCTCCGGTTCAGAGTGAGCAAAGGAGGGCGGCACGAGCTCCCGCACGCTCTCCGCACCATCCCCGCGGACCGCGGCCGGGGCTGGGCGTCCTCCTCGGGTTCTCCGCCGTCCTCGTCCTAGGCCTCGCCTCGGCCTTTCTGGAAGACTGGCACCCCGCTTCCTCCTCGTGTTGGGTGATTACCACTACAGCGCGCGAACTCAGGCGAGCGCAGGCCCGCCGATTCCCTCCCTCCTCCCCCACCCCGCACATCTCGCGATACTTACCTCTCAGGACTCTCGCCGATCGGGGCCACACAGGCGCACTGGCGAATGTAAGCCGAGTACAGCTCCTCGGCCTCCGCGAACTCTCCCTTCTCGAAGTGGGCCTGGGCAAGTGCCAGGGTTGCGTGACTTTCGTGATTTTGCTTCCCTTCCATAGTGGCTTAAGGCCTAGGTCTCTGTGTGGAGTAAGGATTGACTTCTGAGCGGCTACTGGCGTCACCACAAGACCACTTACTCCGAATTTTATTTACCCACAAAAACCTCGATGGTGGAGAAGTCTGTGCCTTCCGAGGACCCTTATTCTCGCGAGATAAACGCTCTGCAAGGACCCTTTATTCTCGCGAGATGAAGGCGCCCGGGACTCTAAGGGCACCTGAATAGCGTACTACGGTTTCTCTTATTATCCTTGATCACATCTGTCTCGTGTCCCAGAAAAGCAGCAGATCGAGTGTCCCGATAGGCTTCCAAGTCCTTGGCTGAGGATGCCAGGCGTTTGCGCTTTGTCACAACGGACTGGGGCTGAAGGTACTGGTGGGCGGAAGGAGGAAGCCACTGTCTTGTCTATGAATGGCTGATTGGCTTGCGGACTTACTGTAGCTTCCTTCCGGTGCCCGAAACTGTGGGCCTTGGGTGTTCTGGGTAGGCTGTGGTCACCTCGACACTTGGTGTCAAGGTCCTGTGAACTTTGTTGTCCCACGGCCCTGAGTCCGAATTCAAACTCTCTAGCGTGTATTTGCTCCAACTCCATAGATGGCAAACCTATCAATCTTACCTCCTGGAATTATGGAAGAATTAAGTGGTATATTGCATGGACAGTCTGGTCTGTAATGTTAGCCTACATTCCCTGTTGTGGCAAAGAGTACCCAAATAGTAATGTACTAAGTAGATTATGTTTAATTCAGGTTATATAAAAAGGTTTGCTAAACTACATTTCATGTCTACTGTGTTGTCTCCTCGAAGTCCTTCAGTTGCATTCCCAAATTACTTGAGCACATTGCCTCTAGAGAAGAGATAAAAAATATTGGGAATGGTATTTGCGTGAAAAGTCTTCAATAGGATACAAATTGTGTGCTTTTTCTGCTCATTTTTTTCACTTACCATCAAAAAATATATATTAATGCAAAAAAATACACCTGTAGAAATTAGAAAAATTGCAAAGCTATGACAAAAAAAATTAACTAGTATTTTCTACATAAGAAAATTGACAGATTAGCAGAATAGATGGCCCAAAAACAGGCACTGGTAGGCATTTTTTTTTGGGAGGGGGGCGTGTAGATTTAACATACATGAAGAAAGAACATATTATTCAAATGAATGCTACTGGAAAAACAAGTTACCATTTGGGGGAAAAGACTTAAGCATTGAGGATACCGATTGTCACAATACTCTTATTCCAGGTGAATTAAAAAGTTACATATGAAAGAATTCTATTCCAAAAATAAGTAGAATAATTATCTCAAATCCAAGCAGGTTTCTAGCATAAGAAAAGGAATGCTGTAGTTTCAGTGTGTCTCCCCCCATGTTCATGTGTTGCAGACACTCTCCAATGCAAAAGTGTCCTGAGGTGAGGCCTAATAGGAGGTGTTTAGGTCAAGGGGACTCCACCCTCATGAATGGACTAGTGCCAGTAACTTAAAACACTTGAGATTGTAGTAAACTCTTGCCACTGTGTTATGATGAAACTATATCACCAGTTGTAGCTATGATCTTGAACTAATAGCTCTAAAACTCTAGTAGCCAAATACGTTTATTTATAAGTGACCCAGTCTGTGGTATACTATTATAGCAACACAAAATGGATGAAGACAAAGAAGAAAAATATATATATAAAGTATCTGGTAGACAACTATAGATTGTTTTTAAGTGAGACTGGGGTTTGAACTCAAGGCTTCATACTTGCAAAGCAGGTGCACTACTGCTTAAGCCACACTTCCAATCCTCAACCATAAAAATAAAAGGCAGCAGAAAGGAAAGAAATCTGCAACTTGCAAAATAATGGTAATTCCACTAACAAATACTTACTGAACATCTACTATGTGCCAGACACAATTTTAAAAACTGGGAGTAATACAGTAAACAAAAGGAAGTCCCTGCTGTCACTGAGATTACAGTCGAGCAGAAACATACATACACACATACCAAGTGCAGATTAGTGCCCTGGAGAAAAATAAAACTCTACAGGGGATGGGGAAAAGGTGGTTTCTGTTTTGTAAAGGATTGATGGAGAAGACTTCACAGGAAAATGACCACCTGAGTAAAATCCCAAAACCAAATAAGAGAGCAAACCATGCTGATAATGGCCACAGGAAACAGAAAGTGCAAAAGCCATAAGTAGAGATCTGTTTTGTTCAAGAAATAATAAGAATATTCATGTGTCTTAACACCCAGTGACCTAAGGGAAAACAAGCTTTGTAAGGAAGACTAGGAATTTAGTGGGGGATGTGGGAGTCCTAAATAGGATTAAGATTCCTAGCCCTTTTTTGTTCCATTGCCCCTTTGGCATCCGGTGAGCACTTTGGCTCCTCAGTACTAGAACAGCTGTAGAAATATTAACAGATGTATAAAATAGCAACATAAACTTATTAACACATTAAACATCAACTGGCAAACCCAAAGCTAGCAAAGGAAGAAAATAATAAAGATTAGAACAGAGATAAAATGGATAACAGAAAAACAACAAAGAAAGTCAACAAAACCAAAAGTTGATTCTTCAAAACATATCAACAAAAACCTTTAGGTAGACTGGCCAAAAAAAAGACTCAAATTACTAAAATCAAAAATTGGAAGTGAAGATATTTCTACTCATTTACAGACATAAAAAAAGGATTTTAAGCCAGGCATGGTGGCTACTTGAGAGGCTGAGATTGGGAGGATTGTGGTTTGAGCCAGCCCAGGCAAAAAGTTCTCAAGACCCCATCTCAACCAATATCTGGGCATAGTGGTGCATGCCTGTCATCCCAGTTACTTCAGAGACTGAGATGGAATCACGAATTGAGGCTAGCCCAGGCAAAAGTTAGCAAGATCCCATCTCAATGGTAAAAAAAAAAAAAAAAAACTGGGCATGGTAGGGTGTACCTGTCATCCCAGTGATGGCATTAAGCAAAAGAAAAAAAATGGGAGGATCACAGTTCAGGCCACCCTGGGCAAAAAGAGAGACCCTATCTCTAAAAATAACCAGAGCAAAAAGGGCTGGAGGCATGGCTGAAGCTGTAGAGCACCTGCCTTGCAAGTGTGGGGTCCTGAGTTTAACCCCTAGTAAGTACTGCAGAGAGGGAAGAGGAGTGAGAGGGAGGGAAAGAAAACAATTCTATATACAATAGCATCAAAAATAAAATAAGCCGAGCACTGGTGGCTCATGCCTGTAATCCTAGCTACTCAGAAGGCAGAGAGCAGGAGGATTTCGACCCTATCTCAAAAAAAACCCATCACAAAAAAGTAGAGTGACTCAAGGTAAAGGCCCTGAGTTCAAGCCCCAGTACAAAAAAAAAATTTCAGAACTAAATATCATCTTTTGTGTCTTTCTTTCAGTTAGCCCTTGAGGTGCCTCCGCATTGCTACATATATCAGTTTGCTCCTTTTTTTGCCCAGCAGGATCCATACAGTATACTTCACTGCATGGATATTCCACAACATTTTCATCATTTGTTACAATCAGATACTAATGAATATTTGGCTTCTTTCCAGTTTTGAGCTATTATGAATAAAGGTGCTGCTTATATTTGCATGCGAGTCTTTGTGTGGATATGTTTTGGGTTTTGCTGGGTAAATTTCTGTAAGATTGCTGGGGCTGTGGTAAATGTATGCTTAAATGTAGAAGAAACTTCCAAAGGCTTCCAAACTGAATAGTATTCCAAAATACTACTACTTTGCCTTTCTATCAGCAAATGGGTAAGAGTTTCATTTACTCTACATTCTCACCAGCACTTGTCAGTATTAATTTTAGCTTTGGGAGTGGGTGTCTAGTAGTATCTCATTTTCCTCTAAATTCCTCTAAATTTTATTAACTAGAAATTTAAACTAGGCTGAACAAAGAACTACTTAAATAAATAACCATAAACCTTTAGTAACTACTTTTTTTTCAATTTCAGAGAAATCTAAGAACAAATAGCTCATTATGAAACACTTGTTTATAATACATCAATTTCTACTGTTTTTAATTCAATTAAAATATGATGCTTTTATTTTTTTAAGTTGGGACTTTTTTACTTTCTCACCTATATTTTTATGTGTTTCTGAAATTTTCCACCATGAACGTGTTACATTTACACTTAAAACAATGTTAGCTTCTTAAAACGATAAATTGAGAAAATAATTATAAAAATAGACAGTAGAGGGCAACATAATATTACTGCTTTCATTTTGGAAACCCAGTAGCACAATCATGGAGCTGTGTCAGCAAGTTTAGTAATCTTGATTTTATCTTAACAGTCTGGTAACATTTGTTTCCTTCATTTGTGAATAAGAATTCTGTGTAAGCTCTAAGGAGTAATTCTCTGCATCTCCCAATCATCTGACATTTGCTTAGTTTTTTCTCAAGACTGGGTTTTTCTCCTGTTTGATGGCAAAAGTGGTTAGACTATATCTACTGTACCTCCCGCCTCCTTCTCCCTTTCTCTATTCTGGAGCCCAATTCCCTCCTAACCCCCATCAAAATATTTAAATGAAGACAAGGCAAACACCATGTTATCCATAAGTCAAACCTGACATAAAAACAAGACATTTTTCCTCAATATTTAGTTCTCACATAATACCTCATAAAAATCTAAAATCTCAGCTCTGGGAATACAAAAAGATAATTTCAAATTGTATTTTAGCAAAACAACTTACAATGAAATTAGCACTGAGAAAGAAAGTAAGTTTGGTGATAAAGAAGAACTCAAAAGTACTTAAGGTGAGTCAGTTCATGTTTACTGCAAGAAAAGAAATAGTAGTTTCCTTATCCTATCTTCAATATCCATCCAATTTCCAAGTATTTGTTTTATATGATCAATTTTGTTTCTGTTCTTTTCATCAGGGAAGAGTTTGTTAGTGTTATCTTCAAATTTCCTTCATGTTGAATAAATTTTCTTAAATATAGATTCCCAAAGAGTCATATAAGCTTTCACAATAGTAGAAAATAGGAGTTTGTGTGTGTGCCTGTGAGTATGCATGACAGATACACCTGCACGCACACATACGATGATTACATGCACAAGGAATGATGGTTTGTCTTTAGAGATGTAGTTTCTCAGCCAAAGCTGAACAAGAAGTTCAGTTCAACAGCAACTCAGCATCTACCAGAAATAATCAGTTGAAGGAGAGATGCTGGGGCTCAGGCCCCATGCAATTAGTGGCAAATGCAATGGTTCCAAAGAGAGTTCCCAAAAGACAGTTAGGAGAGGCAAAGTCAGGGTCAAGGACACTACTCTTACAACTCTGAAAATTTCTCTGTTGACAAAGCAGAGAATGGCTCATCCCTAAAAATACAAAGTCCTATAAAAAGATGTAATTAAGTCCAACAGAAGTTTGTTATGATTTTCTGATGTGGGAAAATTTTTCATTCTGATAAAGAAGCAAAGAAATGAGACAGGTGACATTATGTTAAATTAGGTAAGTTAGTAACTTATAAGATAAAGTAAACAGTACATGTGTGTGCTGCAGATGGAGACAGAAGGAGCAGGAGATACCTAACATTCATAAAGGCAGCAAAGGTACTAACACGACAGAGCAAGCAAGCATGAGACATAACTCAGTATGTGCGAGGTCTTGATTCAGTTAGCCATTGGTGACACTTATAATGGCTGGTCCTCTTCCTGAGAAATACAATAAAATCCATGACTGCTTAGCAGACTAGTTGGTAAGTGGCAGCTAAAGCTGCTAGCCTCTTTCCTAGAGCAAGTGTGCATAGGTAGCCTCAGACCCTTTCCATCTGATTTAAGTCCCCTCTCTATAAACCTCTACACTGGTCCTGTCCATAACCCCACAATCATAGCAAAGACTGAGAGTCAGGACTTCAGACAATTATAGAATCCAGCATTCAGGGACTGTGATCTTTTCTATCACACTGGCATCCTAACCCCATTACTTTTTCCTTGTTCCTCACTATGTATTTCATACTGATTTTTTTTTCATACTGATTGAATAAACTATCTGTTTCAAGCAATCTCACTGGTTTGTATGCCATTCTGTTCCAGGACCTCTAGGATAGCTTGCCTGGCAGTGTATTTGAAACCTACCACCATTGTATCAAGTAATTTCCCACAAGGTACATGAACACAGAGACTTCAAAGACATCAGTTTTCTTTTATCCAGGCCCATCAACCTACTATCTAGCCTAACGTCACCTGGGCTCTAAACCTCTTCTCATAGCTCATTCTTCTCAATTTGCAACAAGTCTAATTTGTCAATCTAGGATCAAAAATGTGTCACATCAAGGGAATGAATTAACCTAAGTAGTGTAGCTACAATAACAATATCACACATTTCTCTTTATTTATTATCTCTATGGAGTATCAGCCAAACCTCAGTAAATAATTTTGATAAATAGTTTTAAAGTCTAGTCTTTTGCCACAAAAAGAGCATGTAAGGTGACAAGAAATGAGCAGAGAATATTATTTTTTATATAAAAGAGGTTAAAAACTACCCCTTACTGGTAGCAATTTTTTCTCTTCTAAATAATAAATCAAAACAGTTGCATATCAAGAAAGAATTATGCCTTACATTAAAAGACTTGTTTAAATGAATGGTCCTGTAACAAAATGGTTATTTCTGTATAAATTCTTATTTCATAAAAAAGAGCCAAGTTTTCTGTACCATAATAGAGTAAATGTTAAATGTCTACTCTTGACTGAGTCTGAGACAATGGATTTTTTAAAAACTCAAAATTAGTTTTTAAATGTCTTCAAGTGTCATCTCTGTTTTGAAAGTAACATAGAAAACATTCAATACTTATTTAAAGTAAATATAGGTAGAAGTAAAGCTCATTGCATATTATAATTATTTAACCATCTTGTAATGCAGGTTATGTCAATCGTTTGAACTCAAATTTGCCCATGCCCATGCCTCTCTACACTCACTTACCTGCCCCAAGACTATAATAAATTAGTAACCTGGACATGGTGAGAAAAATATTTATTTGTAATATGTTTCCATTGTAACATGTAACCAACCATGAATATATAAATGATTTTAAAAAAGGGTAACATGCATAAATTTTATATGAAAGTTAGCCTTATTATTTCATAGCTGTATTTCTGTGCAAAAATTATCTTGTTATCTTTACATTTTGTGCAAAAATACAACTATAAAATGGTGAGGCTGATTTTCATATAAAATTCATGAAAATCACCCTTATTATCTAGACAGTTAAGCTAGGCATATATGAAACATATGTTTATAATTATATACAATTCACCTTTATTCCACTGGAGTGTGGCATAAGGGACAGAAGTTGTAGTTACTGATTTCCTGAGCAAGAACATAGTGTTTGCATACTTTGCATATCCAGAATTGATATTCGATGATTGGGCTTCCTGTGGCAATGCATGTTGGCAGTTTCCCTTCTCCACTGTAAAAGCAAGAGAAAAAACAATTAACTGCACTTCAAAATTTCTAATTAGTCTAGCCTTTTTTAATACACTTAATGTTGAAGAATGAAAATACTTCAATTATCTATCACTTATATATCTTATGGTTGGTTACATGATAGCAAAAAGAATACTTTATTTTGAAAAGTTTTTATCAAAAATTGCTCTTACAGTGAAAAAAAATAAAGCATGAATATACTTGTAAAATAAAAAATAGACTATAATTTTAAGGTAAATTACTTCAAAATTCAATGTTTTAATTATTATATTACATAGTGTACATATAGACACCCAAGCTGCTAACAAGGTAGAATGACAACTACTAATTACAATTAGCTTACCCTTCAAGAAGGCTGTTCAGTTCAGATTTTCTGTTATCTTTTGGAGTGTGTTTGGTGAAGATTTCTAGAGCAAGGTCTTCATATTGCTGTTTCTGTTCTGCAGTGAGGGTTTCTAAAGATTCAAGTTTAATGAAAGCTTTTGAACAGGTACCAAAAGCTCTACTGGCACACGCACAGAGTGCTAAGAGAGAGTAGATCTCAACCGCAGGAATGATGTCTTCATAGTCTCTCAGGTGAAGAGCTAGAAAAGAGGCAATTTGCAAAAATTTGATAAAAATAATCATGATTATCAGTGAGAACACATGGGAAAGGATCTATGTTCAGGTGTTCCAGTTGAACCTACATGAACTTTAACAAACATAAAGAAAACATTGGTGAGAGACAAGAGCACTTGTAGGAGGAAGTAGGATGCATGATCTCCAGGTTCTGTGCAGCCACAGTTCAGGTTCTACAAAAATAACCACAGAAGGATGCCCATGACCGTGAAGACTCAGAAAGATACATGAAGACAAAAAGGTTTTGGTTTTGGAGTTGAAATATGCATCTTTTATTCTGTTTAATTTAGAAATTTCTGTAGCATTCCAGAAAATTTAAATTAATATTATGTATTCATAATTCTCAAGATACGATCATGTTTCTTCTTACAAAAAAAGCAATGCAGTATGAAATCATATGTTCCCTTGTGTTCTCTGAACACATTAATACTTTTCTTGTTCATCTTAGTGAAACAATAGGGATTTATAAAAAAAAAAAGTGAAAACAAGCCTCTGTTGGTTTAGACTACTTATTGTGACAGTTGCTACATCTTATTTGCAAATTTTCTGTATTAAGAGATACAGTCTTTCTTAAAAATGCTCTGTAGAATTAATAACAGATTTATAATCAACTTATATCTTTCTCTTCTCAACCTTGTAATCTTTTTAAAAATTTGCTATTATACTGGAAATTTCACAAAACAAGTTAAAATAATATATTCGTGTATTTTATAATTAGATTCCTATAAACTAATTCAGAGGTCAAGTGTTGACAACAAAATATAGTGGAAGCATTTTATATAAAAGTATATTTATTCAGTTACAATAAACAATAAGCTCTGATTTCACATGTAGAGCACAATAGGTTCACAGGCAATAATTTGTAGGGTATATATTTGTTTCATATCATTTTATCACTAAAAGACAAAACAACTGAAGTACATGGATATCTTCACCTAACAGGCAAATAATCTCAATTAAAGGTCTAATTTTTCTTTTAATGTAAGTCTAGAAATGTTACATAAATTGTACACAATATGATTTTAAACTGCATAATTTATACCACATATTAATTAGCTAAAACTAAATGTAAATTGGTTGTAAAATAAATATAACAAAGAGAAATGATTGTTTAATATCACTAATAATTAGGAAAACCTTTTTATAGTCTCACTGCTAGTGACAACAAAAACAAGAATAAATCTCAAAAAAAAATTTGGAGCATACACAGGAAAACTGAATTTTTAAAGGAAAAAACAGATGCTTAAATGGGTCTTAGAAACTTGTGCTTCTGTATGAGAAAACTCACATCATCAACATATCAGTGGTCACAATACTAATACTTTAAAGCAATTCTAATCCAAAATCCAATGGGATTTCATTGAAATCCCCACCACCCTCAAAAAGATTGTAAAGTTGATCTGGAACAAATACTAAAAATTACCTAAAAATCTTTTCTTAAAAATAAGTGTAATGGAGAGCTTAAATCCCAAATCTTAAAATGCAAAGGTAAATAAGAGGACAGTTCTGGCACAGAAATACATGGATAGAAAATAATAGTCTACCAAGGGTTTCAGAATATGTAGTACACATTTTACTGGGTGTGGTGGCACACACCTATAATCCCAACACTATAATCCCAACACTCTGAAGACTGAAATAGGAGGATCTTCAGTTTGAGGCCAGCCTGATCTATATAGCCAGATCCTGTCTCAATAATCCCCCCCCAAAGAATATATATAAATTTATTTCCATGAAGGTAGAATTTCATATCTATGGGGGGAGAATACATTTTTAATAAGTGATTTTAGGAAGAGTAAGAAGTTATAATAAAATATAGTATTTAATACCCTTGATGTGAAGGACTTCTTATGCATGACTTCCAAGTGAAAAGTACGAAGCACAAGAATAATGGATGTGACCATCCTGAAAACCCTCTAAGAAGCATCATCATAGCCACCACTCACTGAGGGCTCACAAGGTCCAGGCTCCATAAACATGCATTTTCTTTTCAGGAATGTCTATTATTAAAACAGCACAACAAGGAAGACACTCTTGCCTCTACTTTCATAAAAAAGAAACTGAAGCTCGGCAAGGCTAAGTGATGACAACTTATAAATGCTAAGGAGATCCACACATAGGAGAGAGGGTTATTATCTATAATCTCTGAAGAGCTCTTACACAATGAAATTAAATCACCCTACCTACAGAATTCCAGAAACATTCAAATAAAAGAATCTGGTGTGGGGAGGGATGAAGGAGAGTGGTAGAGGGGGTGAATTCAAGCATGATATATTTGAATATATTGTGAGAACTTTTGTAAATATCACAATATACCCCAACCCAGCACAATAATAAAAAAAAACAAAGATTCTATTCAAATACACACACACACAAAGAATTTCTCTAAAAGATTAATGATTAGGCAGTGATATGCTCTTGGTGACAACATGAGCCACAGAGGGTGATTTCACAGTGGTCACCCAATGCGACAGAGGGAAGGAGGGTGGGTGGTGTGTGACGGTGTGCACTGCTGTCAAGGCTCAGCTGAAAGAGCAGTAACATTCTCGTCATTCACATGCTTTGTTTATGACATAAATTTCATAATTATGTCCTTTGGCGTTAATGTATCTAAACTCTAGTATATTGTTAATCCAGAAGAAATCTAGATCCAGATGCTGCATATAAATAATTTCCTATAAACTATAATAGATAGGTACTACAGAATATTATGCAGCTATTAAAAGTTTACCAACAAGGAAAGACAATTACAACACCGGGGGAAATCTTGAGTGGGGAAAAAGTAAGCTCTAGCAGGAAGAAATATCTAAAAGAAAATTTACTCAAATGTTAGCAATAATTTTCTCTGAGTTGTAAGATTATCTTATAAGTTATTAGATTATTTCCTCTTTGTATTTTTCTGTCAGTTGAAATAATTAGGTAAGAATCATTTTTATAAAAAATAAGATAAATGCTATAGAAATACATACAATATGAAAATATTTTAAAACATTATTTTTTAATTACCAAAAGGTAGACGCTACTATACTTTCCAATATTGTAAAAATTGCTTTTAGAAGTTTTACATAGATATAGATATAAACACAGACATACAGACAGAGATAACAGATATACAAAAGGCATGGATGGGCTACTAAGTGCTTAACAAATGGACAGAGCACAAGGGTTATATGTGGTGTTTTGCTTATTTCAAACATCTGATATCTCTGTGAACTATATGTACTGCTTTCTATGTATTAAAAAATGAAAAAACTTCAAAAAGGGAACTGCACAAGCAAATTATATGTAGCATAATCTCAAACATACAAAAATAACTCCATAGGGAAAAATATTATTGAAATTAATATAAAGGCAAATTGAAGGACCTGACCCTTCATAGTCACTCTAAAGTTTTTCAGACATATGACATATATTAGGTGACAAGCCCACCTGTCTTCAATGCAGTGTCAACATATCCTTCATAGAGCTGCCTCTGTGCCAGGAGAAAGAAGTGGTAAGCCTCAGCCCCTCTCCAAGCATTATCCGTGAAACGACTAGTTGTAGACCGAACTTCCTCCTCCAGCAAGCCAGCCAAAGCAGAAGTGGCCTAAGAGAAAAGCCAACCTGCACTGTTAATGCAAAAACATACACACCACTGCCTTATAATGAAGGCAAGTTCTGAATCTGTGAACCTCAACATACCTAAATAAGCAGATTTCGTTCATTATAATACTATCATTACAGACTAAGTTTTTCCATTATAATTTTTATGTATTAAACTGATCTGATCAAATTTTAAAATAGAACTTATTAAACTTTTAACTTAATGAGATTTTTAATTTAATGATTCATTTGCCATTTTATATATATATATATATATATACAAAATGTACATATTCTAAGAAGTTTTTAAGTTTCCTATTTAGAAAGGAGGATTTACTAGGTAAGTGAAAATTATAACAAAATAAACTAAAGCAAACACAACAAATTAGTCTTATAGAAAAACAATTTTCCATATTTCTAAGTAGAAAATTCTAAGTTTGTATACTATTTCTAACTCAGACATTCCTTTTCTTCGTGTCATTTAAAGAATAAATGCAGACTCAATGAAAGGGCTGGCCAATGAAGAGAAAAAGTTTGATTTTTTTTTTCTTGAATCCTTCAGATGATTTAACAACATTTAATAACTTAATATTCTACCTTACCTCTGAACTCTTTCCTTTAACTTTTCCTCGTTGGGCATTTTTCATCTGTTCATGGTATTGTTCTACAAGTAAGGCTGACAGTACATACAGCTTCTTAACACGTAAAGGTTTAGCTCTTTTCTTTGCCTCTTCATCTGCAATCTTTAAACATTTAAAGATTGGGGAAGATGCTTCTTAATCTAGATTTGCACAAATATAACCATTTCTAAAGTTAACTGAAATTTGATTCTCTAAAAAAGCAGGAATAGCAGTAGGATGGAATATAAACAACACAATTTATGTTTAATGTTTTAACCACCAGTTCCTTTTTTTTACTGCTTACATAACTTACTATTTACATAATTACTATTTACATAACGTCTCCTTAGTATTTAGGCCTTAGAGTTAAAACTTTTAATAATATTAGAAAGTAATGTTTGTATTCAACAACTAAGTCAGAGTGAAGAAAGTAGTAATGGAATGAGTAGTTATTTCCCATAACAGAGATTTTAAAAACACAAAGATATGATGGCATTAACATGGTGCATCCTTCAGAGGTTTAAACTTATTTAAATGATTCTGAGGGAAATTTCTCCTTTTTCATTAAACTAAATATGGAAAGAATATAATAGAATGTAAAATTTGGTTAGAATAATACTGTACTAGTTATATTCCAAATGGATATTTTGAAAGTACAGTGTTTTAAAATTTACAAGGACTCAAAATTCTATTATCAATGGGATTTAATTTCTAGTTAAGGGAATATGTTCTTGATGGTCCCAGCAAATTCTTTAGTTTTGTTGCTGTTGTTTGTTTGCTTTTTGTTATTTTTGTTAAACTTCAGTACCAAATATACAACTGTTTAGGTACCAATTTGTTGCTGATATATAAATAGTGTACAAGGTAATAAGACACATAGCTACAATAGTAATAAAACTAGAAACGTTTTGCTATAACAATTATTTGCTTCCAAAGAAAATGAAAATGTGTTCAGTGTATTTTTTTTCAAAAATTGTAACTAGAACAAACCAAATTACTCATCAAGATTGTTACATCAGTAGCTGGCAGAGTGGCATAAGCAGTAGAATACCTGTTTTGCAAGCATAAAGTTCTGAGCTCAAACCCCAGTATGACCAAGCACACACGCACGCACACACACACACACACACACACACACACACACACACACACACACACACACACACAGTTATATTACCTTAAACATCAGTTTAGCAGCATCAAAAAAGTAGTTGGCTCTCCGATAGAGTTCTATGGCATCAAGAGTCTTATTCTTTTCCAGTAAATGAGATGCATATCTAGCTAACAGGGATCCAATTTCTTTCATATTATGACTCTTAGCCAATTCAACAGCTTTGTTCCACTAAGGAAAAAATTATCCATTTAGTCACCCAAATATAACATACATACACCATAAAACTCACACAATTAAGGCTAAAACTTAAGTTTGTAATAAAAGATAATATTGCTTCAAAATAGAAAAACATGGTATATGTTGTTTTAAAACATTTTAAATCAGAGCAAATGTAAGTTCTATAAACTAAATGTGTCAAAATGATTAAGTGACCTAAGACTGATTTGTTTAAGAAGTGCATTTGAAAAGGAAAGTTTTGAAGTCTATAATCGTATAATCTTATAATCCTGTTTTTGACATACTATAAACCAGAAAAAGATTCTTTTTTTTCATGGGACTAGGGTTTGAACTCAGGCCTTCACAATGCAAGGCAGGGACTCCACCACTTGCACCATGTTTCTACCTCTTCACTCTCTATTTTTATAGTAAAATAAAATATAAAATCTCAGTTAAGAAAATATCCTATCAGATTTAACATTTTAAAATTATGTTGGGGGTATGGCGCTGGTGGAAGGAGGAAGGTAGTGGGGAAGAGGGTAGGAGAATGAATACAGTACAAATAATGTATGCACACGTGTGCAAATGCAAAAATGATACCTGTTGAAACTGTACCAGGAATCAGGGGAGGGGGAAGAAAGAGAGCAGTGGAGGGCGTGAATTCAAGTATGATATACTTGATACATGTAAGAACCTTTGTAAACGTGAATGTCATAACCCCCACCCAGCACAATAAAAATAAAGAAAATAAAAATTATGTTTATAAGGTAAATGGGGCTTTATAAAATGCTTTAAAGAAAATACTTAAAAATGACCCAAACATTGTATGCACATGTGAATAAAAGAAATAAATAAATAAATAAATAAAATAAAAAACAAGGAAAAAAATACTTAAAAGAATACAGATAATCAAGTTTTTATAATAATTCAGTTTTCACAAATATAAAATATTATGTTTTCCATAGAGACAAAGGAAAATAAATTTGCCAAAATAAATATTGATAAAATAACTCAATCTCTTCCTTAAGCAATGACTAACTATTAACTGGTCCTTCTTCGGAAACAAAACCCAACCCAAATAAAATGCAGAAAATTATGAAATTACTTCCAGACAAAAACTTGCCAGACTGAAAGCACAGGTCTGTTCATGTTTCCACTCTGAGTTAGCTGTGAGCAGGCCACCTCCTACCCCACCCCCAGTAGCACTCTAGAGGTAAAAAAGCAAATTCAACACTTTCTCAGTCCTTGACTCTAAGTGAAAATACCCAGCTGGCGCCTCTCACAAAATTCATGCCAAGCCCTCCAACCCTTACACTGGCAGTAATCTCTGCAGGATGACTATGCAACAAGCTGCACAGACGTGACTCTCGGTTCCTTACTTGGTTGAGATGTACACAGGTATCTACCGCTGCCTTTGGTTGATTACATTTCAAAAATGCATTCACTGCTTGTTCACACATTCCAACTCTCACAAACATTTGTGCTATTTCCTGTAAGCACAAAACACTACTATTAGATTTCACAGACCATGAAAATCACTTATTTTTTGATTTAGCAAAACACCATAGGGACATAAGAATATTATTTGGTAGGTAGAATGCTTTTTCTTTTAAACAGGAGCAGAGACTATGAATCAGAATTGATGCTAAAGGGCCTCCTTCTACAGAACCAGTACTTCACTGGTTCAGGCCCTGAAAACACTGCACTGCTTTCTTCTCTCTCTTCAGCAGATGGTATGCAGAAATGTCAAGCTCCAAAACAATTCTACACTGGTGGGTGGAAAAAAACCCTGTTAGTTAACTGGTGCATGTTCAATGTTAATCTTTATTTAGAGGCTTTTAGGACACAATCAAAGCTCTCAAACACCTCTGCAAAAAAAAAAAAAAAAAACCACAAAAATGTATAAAGTAATTCATAATCTTACTACCTCAAAGAAACCATTCTCAATATTCTGGTATAATTTTTCCTAATATCTTTGTCCTAAGAGTGTATGTGTGTGTCTACATTTGTGCATGTGTTGTGATTATGTTATACATAGTTTTGCATCCTGTACTTTCCATTTAACTATTATGTATATCTTTCCATATTATTAAAAATTCCTCTAAAACTTTATTTAAAATTTAAAGTACTTAAAATTTATCATTTTAGTTATTTAATTACTAAAGAAGTTGTAATTACTTAGTATTTACTCAGTGATATTATTTTTCACTTTTAAATTTTTTATTATTTTATATTACTTGTACAAAGGAGTTTCACCATGGTATTTCACACATGCATATTCTGTACTTTGATCAAATTAACTCCCTCTATTTCTCTCTCTTTTCCCCATGCTTCTTCCCACTCATTGATATTTTCTTTTGTATCCTCTACAGCAAATTTTTTTTTTTTTTGCTGCTTCATCAGACACACCTAATGGAGGACACTAGCATAAGCCATACCTAGGGATCTATGTAATTTCAGTTTCTTTCTGTCTTAAGAAAACACTTAGGATTTCAAATAAGAGTTTATGAAAATGCCATTATTACAGGGATAGCTGCTATAGTTCACAAAAAGAAAACTGAATTATCAGAATTCCACACCAACTTGCAACTGGTATGTGTCCAGACCCCATAATTGAGAGCTGCTAACTCCGTAGGAATTGTATAGCTCAAGTAATTTATACATTAGATAAGCAAGTAAAACACAAACTCATTAATAAGACTCAATACTTAGTTAAAGGAAGCTTCAAGAGAACAGACAAAAAAAGATCACTCTGTTTCTTTTCTAACTTTAGTTTCTTTTTCTAATATTAAACACTATTGTTAAGAAACCTAGTAAAAATTATCTTTTTAAACTTAAAATATAGCAAATTTCAAATACTTTCAGATTATTTTGAAATAAATCGCTAACATATCATTTCATTTGTAAATATTCCATGTATTCAGCCAACTTTTAAAAGCAATTTTGTAAAACTAAAGAAATTATACAGGAGTATGATATGTTAAAGTACAAAGAATATGACTGATTCACCCTCCATTTTCAAACATCCTACAATATGGATATGTTGTTTTATAATTCAAATAAAAACATCATTCTATATCTAAGAAACTACAAAATTATAAAACAATTTTCCTTATTGTAAAGGATATTTCCTGACTGTATCTTTGAAATTTTACAAAGTAACCTAACCACTCCAAAAGATAAAATTTGTGCTACCTACTGGAAGCAATTTGTGGTTTTCTGGAAGTGAATTGGCAAGACTCTCTAACCCCTCAAAATCTTCTAACATATAATAACACTCAGCTAAACGTTCCTGGTTCCGGCCTTGTACGTAATATTGTACAGCATTCAACCTGAGGAAAGAAAAAAAACTGTTAAAACTAGTGTGAATCTCCTGATTCACTTCACCAAAAATGTCCCTCATTAGAATTACCAGTGCTAGTATTACTAATTTCATCCTCTTCAGTTACACAAGACATTTAAAATGTCTAAGTTGGGGAAAAAAAAGAAAAAAACCTAAAGGCCATGTAATGTATTCTAGTTGTAACATTCTTTGAATTTCTTCAAATAGTCTTACAAAATATTGTCTTAATCTGATATACCACTGTAGTACTCCCAAACACTGATATATATAAGCATATTTATCTAAATGAAAACTTAATAAAATCAATAATTTCTGAAAGTATTCTATAATAAGCAAATATAAAATACTTTATTTTGTTCATAAATAAATCATACAATATCTTACAACTATATACTATGAGCTCAAACAGTAAAGACTATAAGTTTTATGTTCGTAAACTCCAAAGTTTATAGTGCTCATCTTATAACTTCTAGGATTTCTTGCTCTCTGATGTGAATCTAGAGCTACTTAAGGGCAATCTTCATTTCCCCAGCATTATTTCCTAAGAAAGTACTTGGGCAGCTACAGTTCTAGGCATGCATGAATCATGAGGTGCTCCTGAGAAGTTAAGTACCACTTCTGTCGATCAGCAAAGTAGTCTCCAATGGCATTGTGGGCTTGTTCAAGGAGACTGTCATCTGCATCGCCAGATCCAGTTTTCAGGAGTTGCAGTACTCTAAACCAATCCCCCAATTTCAGCCGGAGGCCAATAGCGAGATCCCTACAAACAATGGCATTCATTCATTCTACAAATATTAAATATTTATCAAGTGGTAGGTATAGTTCTACATACAGAGAAGGCAAATAGAGAAGGTAGCGCTCCAAATAATTTGGAGAGGCCATGGAGGAGTTTTGAATGTGTGTCCCCTCCAAAATTCATGTTGAAACTTAATCCCAATTGTGGTGGTAGCAAGAGGTAGGGTCTTTGGGGAACTGATTAAGTCTATCCTATGAGTTGATTAAAGCCTTTATAAAAGAAGCGTCAGAGAAAATTCATATCTTTTGCCCTTCTGCTTTCCACTGTGTGAGGGTGCAGAATTCAAGGCACTATTGTGGAAACAGAGATGGGGTTATCATCAGACACTAAACTTGCTGATCCCTGGATCCTGGACTTACCATCCTCCAAAACTGTGAGAAATAAAGAGCTGTGCTTTATAAATTATCTAGTTCTAGGTGCTTTGTTATCACAGGACAGGCAGACAAAGATATCATATGAGGGAAAAAACAATTTCCACTCATTTCCCTGAATTTCCAACTTATTTAGTAATATGATGATTTAAATATGAATCACTTCTTTTCACCAATTTCTTAGATATTCTCAGATTCATTTCAAAACAGAACATATAAACATGTTTGATTTTATATTTTTTTTTCAGAGCTTAAGTTGATCTCCTGGAAGAATAAATAACATTAATGAAAATTAGGCAAAGTGTTTACAGCTGAAATGAAGTTCCTACATTACTTGATATAAGTCCAAAATTAATTAAATATAAGAAAGAAAATTCAATCTCTAACTACCTTTGATTTTTATTTTATGCTTCCTGACAGCAGAAAATAGAATAATGACCTAACCCAAAAAAGAGAACCCACATTTTGAGCTATAAAAATAATAAAAGTCCCTACTCTCTACAGTCCTATCACTTTTTTTGTACCACATGAAAAAATCACCCACTAACAGATATAAAAACAGAAGAATGCTGTCCCCAAACTGTAAAACGTAATGAGGGACATATGAGATGTCTAGGTTGTAACACAAACTGAAAATGGTTTTCTAAAAGTTGTGGTGTGATGCATTTAGTCTATTTTATATCCTCCACTTGTAAAATATTATGAACTCAACCAGTGCTTGGGGATGCCCGCCATTTTACAACTTACCACTTACCTTCTGTCCATATCAAGATACATTCGTTCAGCCTCTTCAAACCTGCCAAAGTAGGTAACCACTTCAGCCTGCTTCATTGACTCGCTCTGCAGATTGGCCAAGCGTTTCACAAACTTAATGCCTTGGTAATCTTTGCTGCGCACAAATGCTTGTTCTGCAGTGTCCAAGTCCAGTTTCTGAAGAGCTGCTTCAGCCAAGAGCCGCCTTTATTTTAGAGATAAAGAGAGAGAGAGAGACAGCCTATTGAAAATTACTAATAAACAAGTCATGGATAAAAACTCAATTATTACACCTATCATTTTGAGTGAAGTATAGTGGGGGTGATTCTCTTAGCACATGCAAACATTTTTCATACAATATTATGCTGATTTTGAGAACTTCCAACTCTAAAGTGAATTTTTATAGTTTAAAAGGAAGAGCAAAAAGGGAAGTCTGCTCCCATCAAGAGACTGGTATGGGAGATGGGACGACAGAACTGGGACTTCACACCTAACATTTTGGGAGGTTCAGGGTTCTTTAAAATACCAAAGTCGAGGGTGTGGGTTGTCCTCGATGAATTGAGATGCATCTTGAATTCCAACCTTCTCAATCAATGCTCGACTATCTCGCAGGGACCGAATCTCAAAATTAATGATATAATCTTTGCTGGGATGTTCTGGATTCTAAAAATCAAGATGGAAACAAAGGAATCCAAAAGGTTGCCTATAGAGTGTATCTTTTTAACAATTAAAAAAAAAATCTGTATCATACTGGGAACAAAACTGAGAAGAAAAGAAATCCCCATGCTTATAAATTATTTGGAAAACACCCAGAACACACAAATAAAACCCATACCAAGCAACCAGGTCACTTTAGGGAGCCATGAGCAATGACAGAGGAGTCCCTCATGGTTCTCTTGGCTTAGTTTTCCCTAGGTGCTATCTTTTCTCCTCCAGTGTGCTGCCCAACTTCCACTGGAGCCCAAAACCCACACAGCAGTCTCTACTCCCTCGTCCCTTCATGTGCTCTTTCCCGGTCAGGAACAATAATGCTGTTGTTCCCTTACAGATAGGCAGCAAAGAGATGAAAGGAAAGGAAAAGGGCCAGGGGGTCATCACTACTTTTCTACCATAACTTAGCAGACTGATCAAAACAATGAAATAAGAAAGAGCTAAATAGACAAAGAAAGGAAACAAGCAGATATAATCAGCTCACTGACATTCTACACATCCCAAGTAATGAAAAAAATGAAGCACTGGAGACAAGTTCAAGAGTGGAGTTCTCTAAAAAGGTAAACTGGGACACAGGCAGCCCCATCCTTACCATACAACTAAACCACAGAGGAAAGCACAAAATCCTTAGGGAAGACCTGAGTACAAAGGAGGAATTAGCAAGGAAAGGGCATGTGGTATGGATTCAAACAGACCTGAGCTCTCATCCCAGTTCTATCACCTACTGGCTGTATAACAAGAGCCTTCCTCATCTAAAAGGGAGGTATGCATATCTACCAGCACAGTTGTAAGGACAAATGCCAAATGAATACCTCAGATGAAGTTACTTTGTATTTATTTCTTCTTCTAAGAAATTTCTCATCTTATTCTTAAAACATATGCTTGAAGGAATCCACAGTCCCCTGAAATATTTCCTGGGCCAATAAGGCCTGAGAGAGGCGTGGCTATATCTTTTTCTTTAGTCAGTTTTGCATGTAGGTAGGCAGATGACAAAACCATCACAGCAAATTTGGTTTCTGTTACAGCTTAACTCTCTACCCCATTCTCACCCTTCCCAACACACTAGGCACCAATACTTTAGATATTTTACATTCTAATATATCAGATACATATATACTTGCCCAGGGTATCAGGAATCTCAGCATGTACCCAGCAAATTTAAATATGTATTTCTAAAAGTCAACATAATCATCAGTTACAGCAACAATGTCACAGCATTCTAAAACGTAAGACAATCAGCAACTGTGAGCCTTTCTTTGAAAACACTACCCTACCAATGATGAAATCCAGCTAACTAAAACATTAATCAAAATTAAGAACTCTTGTACATGAAAAATGTAGTTTAAAAATTGGCAACAGCTTTGAATTCACTAAGTTTAAAACTGAATAATGGGAAGTTAGAATTACCAAAAAATTAATATGTTCTAAATCTTGACAATGTAAAAATAATAATAATATGACTACCCAGAAATGGAGAGAGAGAAAATATAAGAATGTCATTTCTTAGAGTGGAAAATCAATCAACATTATTTTTTAAATGTAGTTTAAATTGATAAACTTAATTTTTTCATAATTTTTCTTCTCAATCCAGGAAAATAATATTGTTTGTGGTGAAAAAAAAAACCTAAAAATTTAGAATTCATTTAAATCCACTTTCAGATTATTTACTTAAAACTAACTTTAACACTAAAAAAAAATTGATTGCACTAAAAATTGATGTAAAAAAATCATGCCATTTTTTTATAAAGTTCTGGACACATTCATCAAATCTGTCTTTCTTGTATGAATTGATGCTGTGTATTTATCTAGTGCTGATTAAAACAGCTGCATAGTGGCTTGGGGTGCTTTTTTTTTTTTTTTACTTTGTTTTCAACACTTATCTATTGCTTAATTTCTTTATAAAAACAACAATAACTACCACCTTTTTAAAAATCATCCTTTTTTTGTAGGACTGGGATTTGAACTCAGGTTTTTTTCTGCTCTATAGTGCATTTTTTATTATTTTATTGGAGGTATATTGTGGCATTTACAAAAATTCTTACAATATATCAAGTATATCATACTCGAATTCACCCCCTCAACTTAAGTCTTCATACTCACAATGCAGGCACTCTATCACTTGAGCCACACCTCCAGTTCATTTTACTCTGGTTGTTTTTGAAGATTGAGTCTCTCAAATTAATTGCCTAGGCTGGCCACAAACTGTGATCCTCTAAATCTCAGCATCCCAAGTAGCTAGGATTGCAGGTATAAGCCACCTGTGCCCATTATTATTCTTTTTAAAAAGAAATCAGTGTAACAAACACTGCCAGACCCTTGCTAGGTGGTAGAGACTTAAGAAGCTCACACTCTGTCACAATATTAACACCCAACACAGACACAACACGTCAGCTACTTTAGTTGGATTCTACCTACCTATGACTCTGTTGTTAAAAGGACACGGGCAAAACCACAAAACCACATCTCCTAAGCCACATCCCCACATGTGAGCAAAAAGGGAAAACAGATAGTCTCTAAAGTTACTATGTATGAATTAAACAGACAATAAAACAAGTTCATTTGGTTTACAGGTTATATGCCTTAAACAAAGACAAGGTTTTCTCTTCACCCTTTGCAGAAGTGCCACCCATACAAAGAAGAAAGAGTTAAGCAGCCTCATGTGGTGACCACCACATAATCCCAGAATGTAACAGACTCAGACTCCATTCCCGGTGTTTGCTGACAGTTTTAACTTCACATCCCTCTCCCTCCCCTTCTGACTCACAAGCTGAAAAAGAGCCCAGGTGTACCCTCCTTTGGGGCCAGAGTTTCAAATGACATCATCCCCTACCCATGGGAACCAAAGCACAAGTAACAGAGCAGGGCTGGACCTGAAATCTACCTGACCTCTGGGTCCAACTTATAAGCAGGATGCTACACTGTCTGGTCCAAACATGAATCCAATCAAGCTGCAACAGAAATATAACTGTTTTTTTAATTACCTTCAATATCTCATCCAAGAGAACAGATTTAATTTCTAAGTCCTCAAAGTTACAAATATATCCAGAGGTCTGAATGGGTTCCTTTAAAGACAAAAATAAGTGTTACATTTCATCATGTAAAAATGTCCCCTCTTTAAGAAATCCTGACTTTAAATTTTTTATAAAATTTTCAAACAAAAAGAATAGAGAGAATGTCATGAACACCATATGCCCATCACCTAAACAGATATTAACATTTTGCTAAATATACTTCATTTAATTTTTAGCTGGAGGATTATAAATGATAGACATTATGAAATCTCACCTCTAAATACCTTTATACATTTCTCTAAAATATAAGTATTTTCTCTTATATAACCATGTTATAAACTTAATTCTTAGTAAAACTGGTACTATATTTTTATCTAAGTATATCTATTACAGAAATCCCATACCATACTGAGAATTTGTCCACTGTAATACAGCCTGAGAGTGTTCTTGATGTTTCCTACATAAGATTCTATTTGCTAATTTGTAAATACATGAGTTCATTATGTTTCTGTCTCTTTTTTAGTATTATATAGGCTTGTAGAAAGAAAGTATACAACATGCATATTATAAGGTAAAGTAGCTGCCCGAAATCTTTAGTAGAAAAAAATCAGGTATAAATAACCACCAATATACTTAATACCTTCAAGAAAACTATGAAAGGAATAGGATATTGTCTGATAACAGAAATAAAATCAAAATACAATTTTAAAAAAATATGTTAATATATCATATGTAATTATACTATAATTATAATAAAAGGAAGATACCAAAAAGATGAAAAGAAAATGCAAAAACTGAATCACATTGCATTTTGAATGTCAGTTTCTGAATGAGTCTCTTGTATGCACAGAAGATGTGTCTATGAGATTTCAAATATATATTTTCTTTTAAAAAGCATAAACTGTTGGTTAAAATAATCAAATAATGTGAGAAAGTTTTAGAAAATCCTTTTATTGCCTGAAAATATATTGTATTGCATAAGACAAATAGTACGCTTTTATGAGTAACAAACAAATTATCATTAGAAAAAACTTTAATTTTGGCTAGGTAATGCAACAAAGCAAGAGAGTCAAGAGATTAAGTCATAAAAGATGATCTGTGGATAAAAACAATACCAAAAAGAAAGAGAAAGAGAGAAAGGGAGAGATGGAAGGATAGATCAAAAACAAAGAATTTCCAAAAAAATCTAAGAGTACTGGCCATGAGCAAACATGCACAAATATTTAAATAATTCATATTTTTAAACTAAATTTCTGTTTAAATTATATCAATCAAATTTCTTTATTTTTCAAAATTCACTATTCATTGGATATATATATATGTTATTTGAATTAATATATATAATTTATATTTATATATAATATAATTAATAAATTATAATAATATAATTTATAAATTTATAAATGAATATGAAGTTTTAGACCAATGGTCTACAAAGCAGAGTACACTCACCTAAGCAGTGTGCAAGATCCTTCCCTTTATTAAAGAGGTATCTACAGCTTCACTGCTCTATACCATACCAAGAAACACTGGTACCCTCACTCAGCACAAAGTGGAATATAGCAGGTATCCTTATACCAATTCAATCTTAGCACTAATTGTTGCATACTGAGGTCTGTATATACCTAATGAAGTGGATTGAGAGATTATATTATCTAATTTTAGCTACCCATCATGAATTGAACAAGTGGTTTAAAAAGTTTCTTAAAAATAATTTTTTAATTCAAAGTAATATTACTGATAATACAAGCACAAGCAAAATAGGAAAAGACAGGGCTGACTCCTCCCTAGTTCACAGCACAAATTCTTGGGTCAGCCACATCACAACATGAAAGTAGTAACATTTCATGTGTCCTCAAATGAATAAAATTATATTATCAACTGTCAAAAATAGCTCATCTTCTGAGTGCTAATATGAATTACATATTTTTCTGTAGTTCTGCAGACCCAATGTGTTCTGTTTTGAAGAGTATGTTCTTACATAGCCAATAAGCAGCTAGAGGAATGCTTCACAGAGTGACTAAACAAGCAGGGACCACAGCAGGCCAGTGTTCTCATGAATGAGAAGAACAGAACAGCAAAGTTTATAAAGAAACCTAGACAATGGTAAAGTTGTAAAAAGAACCATCCACCTTACTCTAAATCTAATAGAAACTGAACTATATGCCAAGGCAGAAAACAAACTCAAATAAAGGAAATAATGATTTTTTTTGTTAGATTATTTATAAAAAATTTAACAAATCAGACTACTGATTTTCCTTATTTTTCTTTGAACTTTGATAGGAAAAAAAGACTAGTGACCATGAGTCCATCTTTAAAAAGAACAGATAAATGCTTAGGAAGAGAAAATAGAGACTATTTAAAAAGTATTATTCTCACTTCAGACCTAATGTTTTTAAACTCCACAGAAATGTTTCTATTTACTTTCACAAATTTACTCAGCCAACACCAACAATCCTCCTAAAGAAACGAAGGGGAAATATCCAGATTTTGGTATTTGGCTCATTATTTATGGGCTGTTAATACTCATTTCTTCTTTTTACCTCAAGATCCAAGTTTCTGAAAACATACATTCTTGTCTTCTCCATCATTGCAAACAAATCAGGATTATCCTTGGCCCACTTCATATCCCAGACATCTTTCCGCTCCAGTTTTAACAACTCGCCAACTACTTGCTGTCCTGCACTGTCTATTACCCGAGCATCCAAGTCAAAGAATGTTAGAACTCCTGAAATGTCTATGATAGCAAGACGACTAGAAACAATACAAATGGGAAAGGGAAAAATGTAAAATTACTATCAGTGGTCATGAGTAGAATTTACTATAATCATTCTTCAAAATCAGTTTTTAGAAACCTGGAATATAGTAGAAATGGCTTTAAAATTTTTTAAATAAATTTGACAGAAGATGGAGACTATTCTCCATTTTGCATCCTTGTGAGGAAACCATATCTAAAGAATTTAAGCCAACTGGTATGAAAATATAAAATAGTCTATTATATACAGACTCACTCACTTAAGCAGTACACAAGACACTCTTAAGCTTTAAGAGTGAAAAAACTATACCAGGATTTCCATATGCCAACAAAGAAAGACATTTAAACAAAATACAACATAGTAAAGCCACTCTGAACTTTAAGACAAGTTCATAATAAAAACACACCTGTCTTCATAGTTATTATATAAATCCAACAAAAGTACTAAATCTAAACCAACCCCCACGATGAGGAGAATTCTCAGGCTTACCTAGAGTTGCAATTCAAGGACAACTGGTAGGGTCGAGAATTAAGGGAATACTTCTGAATCAAAGCAACATTTGGAAGACTGTATCTCTGAATGGCTGCAGATTCACGACCCTATGGAAATTACTTTTGTTTATTAAAGCATGTTTACCATAAAAATATCAAACTACCATTGCAGGTCTTTCTATAGATCCATACATTTGTTTTAAACCAAAGTGATACTGAATCATGTTATTAAAAATGTTTATCTCCTAATTTAATTTAAACCTTTGCAAAGTGGCTGAAGGTAGTCTAATTTGTTTTTCACACAGTAATCAAGAAAGAAGACAGAGCCTAGCTCTTTGGTAATACACAAGTTCTTATATCACCAGGAAGAAATATCTATGTTTGCTTATAGTTGTCTACGTTGATATTTGGGGTACACTAAAAGCTAAAATATGCCTCCTGGTGTTTACCAGAGGCTGTTCTTACAATGACTATATAAAAAGAGGAGGCAAAGTACACCTACCCCATATACCCCATATACCTCATATACCTCAGCCTAGGCCCTGTGCCTCGTCTGTATTGTGAATGGGGAGACATGGAGTGGGAGGGAAAAAAAAGCTAAAACAGAAAGCACTTGTTGAATTAAATTTCACATATGAAAAATCAAAATAGAGGATCATGTTAAGAAACATCTGTTACTAAAAATCTAGGTTTTTATCCTAATAGCTTTCTATCTGACACTAGTTTTTGGCATGGGGAAAGATGATCTGAAAGCAGTGAAACATTGAGTATTAGTTTAAATATGTTTAAAAAAACAAAATACATGCTTCTATGCAACTCTGGGCACACATCAAAGCTGACAACATGAGCAGCACCTGAGCAGACAGGAGAGAGCTGTGATTTTCAAACTCTCCTGGGCCTCAAGCCACAGCAATGGGAGAGTGTAAAGTCCACACAGTCAATCTTTACCTCTCCCTTTGCTAATCAGAGCTGCACTTCTTTTGCAGCATGACTCTCAAGAGGTACCTCTCAGAAAAGTTGTGACTACTATACAATACAATGCTCTTAAGAGCTTGGTTCCCCCATAAAATTAGCTTGTGGCTAAAGCACATAATTAGAACTGGAAATGTATGTGGCGGGGACTCTATTTACATAATTCAAACACAACTCCACCACTGCCATATTAAACATTTTTCTAAAATTAATATTTTCAAATGCCACAGCTCAAGAAAAGACACTTTATCATTGAATCTATTTGAAATATTCAGCAGAAATTTGCCAGGGACTTCTCTATTTTACTGACTGACTAACACATCACCTCTTCACTCTAAGTCTCATAAAAGTAGCTGAGCCAAAGCACTTTCTCCAATACATGGTATCAGGCTATGTACAATAGGAAAGTTAGTCCTAACTACCACTATGCACTCTGCCACACATCTATCAACCGTTTGATACTGGCAGAAAACTACTAGTATCAAACTCTAAGTGTACTTTACTTTCTTCAGCTAGCCATCATTCTATTCCTTTTATAAATAGCTATTTATTATTATTATCATTATTATTAGTGACCAATAATTTGTGAGGCAAGCTTTTAAACTCCCTTTTCTTACATTAGACTTAGGAAAACTTGAGATATCCATAAGATGATATTCAAATCCAGAACTCATTGCTTTTAGTTTTATAATTTGAATAATTATTATTCATAAAATAAGTTTTTATAACTCACCACAATCAATGTCTTATCAGATGCAGTTATGGCACAAATTGGATCCCTTGTGCCCTAAAATCAATTAATTAATCATTATTATTATTAACCATTATTGAATGACTACAAGGCAGTATGAAACTCATTAAAAGAAATACAGCAACAATATGTTAACATAAATTTACTTACTAAGCACCTAATATGTGTCATCCATTGAGCTAGGTACTAGAGATACTCAGATGAAATCTTTACCTCTAGGGATTACACAATCTACTGGGAAAGATGGTGAACTGAACACCCAATTATGGAAAGTATGATAAAGGAAGAGGTACAAACAAGGAAAAGTATCTAATTTACATCAAGAAGGACAAAAACTTAAGCTTAGCTTTAAAAGATGAAGTAAGGGAAGAAGGACCAGTACATGCCAGGAGAAAGAGCAAAAAGTCACAGTACTGAAGCCACCTGAATAGATCACAAGGGCATTATGCTTAATGAGAAAACCCATCTCAGCAGGTTACATACTATGATTCTAGTCATAAAACAGTCTGTGACAAAACTATACAGATCAGTGGCAGGGGACAGGGAGTCCCCTAATGGAGACAGTAGGTGAGAAAATGAAGAAGTAGCATGAGAGAGTTCCTTTACGGCAAAGGGTAGGTTTCAAAAAGAATACTCAGAAGAGTGTATGAATAAGTAAATGGACTAGAACTGGACATAAGGGGACATCACAATAAGAGATGGTAGATGAGTCCTTGACAAAGAAGACTAAGAAGGAAAAATCAGTTAGATATAAAGCCATAAGTATGGTTTCAAGAAAGTGGTACAGTATAGAATGGTCAAAAAATATTAAATGTCATATATAGATCCAATAATATCAAGAAAAGTTCCTATCAAGGCTTCTGAAATCTAGACTACAATGCAGTGAAAAATGAAATGAATGGTTAGGGAAAAAAGATAAAATATAGAATATTCTTTTAAGAAGCTTAACTATGAAAGGATAAAAAGACAAAGCAGTGGTGATTAAGATGGAAGAGATATAGCACATTTTATGTGAGGGTAGCAGGGAAGAGCTGGTTGCTGATCAATCAGTTTGAAATGTGCTAAAAGTTCTCTAATGGAAGGCACTGTTTCTTATTCACCAGTTGATTCCCAGAATCTACTCTAATGTCTGACTCATACCAGACATTCAGTGAATACTTATTGAATAAATGAATGGAGAAGGAGCTAACCAGAGGGACTCCTGAATATTTCAGAGACTGAGTCACTAAATCTGCTGTCAAAAAACCTAAACTTGAATCCTCATCTTGTTACTTATTATTGTATGACTGAAAATTCATCAATGAACTTCCCTCTCAGTTTTCCAATCTATAAGGTGGAGAGGGGCCTCCAGATTATCTGATTTATAGGGTTATGAGCACCAGATAAGAAACTGGATAAGAAAAAACTTTATCAACAGTAAGCACCACTTTAAATACTCTCAGAAAATCTTATCAAAAACAAAAATTGCTTACTAAAATATTAAATTATATTATTGTATAAAAAAGAATATTTCTTTAAGTAGGAATACTTACTAATATGCCAGACATAACAGACATTCTGTGGTCCATAGATCAATGGATGATTTGGTAGACAGATACAGAGAGATAGATGAATGCTTAGAGAGGAAGGGCAGGAAAGGCAGGAGGAATTATCCAGTATTTTTAAATAAGTTTTTCTAAGTAGTGCCCAATTAGCTACTTTTCACTACCTAACACCTATTAATTTTTAAGATTTATGAAAAGATTTTCAGAATAGAAAAATGTTTAAAGAATTGCTAAAATTATATCTTTTTCAATTCTCAAAATTTATTTCCAAATATACAGATATGAACACTTACTATCAAAAATAAAACCACCTACTTGAATGGCTTTACTATAATCAAGCACCCCATCCACTGATCCAGAAGGAATATCATCAACATGATAAATTCTGTATAAAAAAAACAGAATTTTGAAGAAAGTTTAAGGAGATTATTTCATAATTTCTAGGACAATTAAAGAATTGGGTGACTTCAAGAAATATTTCTATTTAATATAAAAATCCTGATTATTTTAAAGAATTTTGATACAGCTAAATCTCATAAAAGTAGAAACACTGTACCAGTTGTTTCCTAGTTGTGCAAGTGACCTGCTCCTGAAAGTTGTGTCCCAAATGTATCTGAACACTGAATCATATATTCTTGAAGAACTGCAGTAAGCTATGAGAGATGGTTTATACCTTACTCTATCAGTCAGGAGTAACCTGTAATCCACAGACTTTCTCTGTTGTTTCTCCATAATTTCCTTTCTATCAATGTGTATAATTAAAAGTGAAACTTTAATGAATTTGAGAAGCACTAACAAATGGGATTTCTGTGAAGTAAAAGAAGCCTCGCTCCCATCCTGTGTTACGAAGACACATCCCTGTGCCATAACAGCTGTACCATCTCTCTAGTGCCTTTATCATAATACTTATTCACAGGAAAGTGCAGCTGCACTGCTGGTTTGCTTATGTGCTTGCTGTCACTAGGTGGTGAGCTTCCTGGGGACAAACACTATCTATCTCCAGTCCCTGACACAGTGCTACCCACTGTCAATGGCTCCACAATGTCTATTGGGTAATTATTAAAATAAATGGAAGTTTTTTAAAGAACTGCTAAAGTACCCTAGATTACAGAGTAGCTCTGAGGCTTTGGGCAAATAACTTCTCTGAGCCACTATTTCTTTCTATATAAAATTAGGGTAGCAATTCCCCCTCAGCAGCATTTCCGAGAGACAAAAATAAAGTGATGTTTGTAAACTACATATTATAGCTATAATATAATCACAGGAAAATCATGCCATTTCCTATTTTTTAAGTATATGAAATTTTACAACTGTTAATTTGGAGTTATAATTATACTCTATCACTATTAGATCAAATTTTAAATAAATTTAATAGAAATACATTAAAATGCAGAAAGATGTGATATGTCTAAATTGGTACATATTTTTGCATTTTAATATATTTCTATTAAGCATACCCTCTCCCTACTTAGTTATCACAACAGAAAAGTCAAAGATTAGAATAGGAGGTTCCTCAGAGACCACATGTTCCAACTCCTTCTCTTAAAATAAGAAAGGTACAAGAAAGGCCTGTCTGAGTAAAGGGGTTAAACCCAGCTTTATGTCCCATCTCTACTTAAAAGCTGGTGAGCTTTGGGGAAAAAAAAAAAATGAAGCTCGCGTGTCTCAGTTTCTTCTCTGTGAAATATGAATCATAAAAGTACTGAACAGACTTGGCATATCAGAAGTACTCCATAAATGCTGACCATTTTCACCATCATCAACCACATTTTACAGATGAGGAAACTGAGAACCAAGCAGAGGGAGGAGAGGAGGAAAGCTTGCATTAAGATCTCAAATACATGTCAGGGAGTAAAATGATTTGAAAAGTAATGGAATTTCTGACCTGACTTCCACCACCCAGTCCTACCTACACAGGCCTCTACCCTTACCCAGAAGCATTAGGTTAAAACATTGAACAAGATGCTTTATGTAAAGGCTTGGGGAAACAACCAAAGGAGAAACGAGTACCACTAACACACACACACACACACACATCTCACAAAATACAGTAAACACGTACTGCCCTTGAAACTTACTACCTGGAGTCCTTCCCTCCGGGCTCCTCACCTCTCTGTGTGGCACAGCCCCATTGCTTCCACTTATCAGAAGTCATGATAACTCCAGACTCCCCAGAATCCAGGGCAAGGAAAGAAGGCAAATCTCCTCCAGCTCTTCCCACCTAAAGACCTCTTCCATACCTGTGTTTAGGGACCTGCCTTTCCTCTGATGACTGATGAAAAGATCACTTCACCCTCCTAGACAGGCCAGTACCACTAACCCATAGGCTCATTAGCTTTAGTGAGGACAGTCACTTGCTTATTTTAAAAAAAAAAAACAGATTTCCAGCCTTTATCTTTAAGGACTTTCTCTTATTACCCTATGCTACCTCTCTTTTATTTTGATAAATTTAAATAGATCAATATGAAAGCTATTCAAATTAATGAAAAATACTTCTACTAATCAAGGCAATTTACATTTCTTAAGACTGACAATTGACAATTGACTATGTCTGGTTGAAATGTAATGTGGTTGCATATGAAAAGAAATACCTTTCTCTCCCTTCTTTTCGAGACCGCATAATCTGATTAATTTCCAAAGCTGTGAGTTTCTTTGCCACGCGATATTGCCAGGTATAAAATGCTTCCTTTGAAGCTGCTATCACATGGGTCTTGGTCATTGCAACAAATAATGGTACTAGTAAAAAAAACATTAAAATAATTACGTTAGCATTACACAGACTCACGTTAGCATTACACAGACTCACTCACTGCAAAGCACTTCAGTAATCACTGAGTCCACCTCTGCATTTTACAGACAATACACCCACAGTCTCAAAGTTCCCACCACAGTCTCTCTAATTTTTTCTGATTAAAAAGTTTCTGAATCAAAAGTTTATAGGACCATAAAAAAATATTAACTCAAAAGGATTAAACACCTAAATGCAGGAGCTAAAACTATAGAACCCTTAAAAGAAAACTTAGAAATGTCTTAGATAAACCAAAAATACAGGCAAAAAAATTAATAAATTGGACTTTATGAAAATTTAAAATATTGTGCTTCAAATGGCACCATCAAGAAAATTAAGATAATCCACAAAATGGGAGAAAATATTTACAAATAATATATCTGACAAGGAAATCTATCTAGAAGATTTAATGAAATCTTATAACTCAGTAATAAAAAGATAAATAGCCCAATTAAAATGGGCAAAAGAGCTGAGTAAACATTTCTCCAATGAAGATATACAAATAACGATTAAACAAATAAAAAAGATGGTCAACATCATTAATCATCAGGGAAATACAAATCAAAACCATAATGAGCTACCACTTCATATCCACTAGGATAGCTAGAATCAAAATGTCAGACAGTAAGTAGTGTTGACAAGGATATGAAGGAATGATGAGAATATAAAATCAACTTTGACAAGGCGTTCGTTAGGACATATAGTAACTCTATATTTAACATCATACTCCTAGGTATGATGAAATTAAAACATTATATCCCAAGAGAAATTAAAACATTTGTCCATTAGCATTATAACTTCTGCTCCATGGTGGGAAGTTATTTTAAAGCAATAAGAGAAAAAGGATGTTAAAATAGCAAAAATGTACTTATGAATGTATATTTTTCCTTCCCTCCTCAGTATCAATCATGGCTTGATTTAAGTCATTTATCCTTTCCCATAATTCCATATGTCTTAAACTTCCATGGTATCTTAGAAAATTCTCCCAAGTTCCCTCCTAATCTAACAATATATTCTTCTAGACAATATTTTTCATCTGTCCTACTTCTTAAACAACTTTTAATTGAGCGCCTAATGTATATGCTTCCATGAAGTAGATAATACCAAATCAAATTATGGTTTTAAAAAAACAAGGGACTAGGGCAGGAAAATAATTCACCTGCAATCACAAAACACAAAATAAAAGATATAAAATTAAATACATACATTCATTTAAAATACATAAAAGCAAAAGCACTCCTCCATAAAAGATCAGTTTAGTCCCTGTTTTCTAAATTCGTGATTAAAACAGTGTAAAATTTTTGTATTTGTAAGTAATTAATATGGCCAGAATAAAAGAATGATATTAGCAGAGGCAATCATTGATGAAGTTTTTGCCACAGTCCAAACAAAGGGCATTTAAGGTGGTGAAAGACTTAAAAACTAAACAAAGAATTAGAAATTACTCTGATGGTATGATGTTAACTGCGTGCATTAATAATCTGGGAATCAAATTTAAGAAACTTTATACACTAAGTAACTCAGTATACTTGAGTCATTAAAATTTTTTCTTTACAATTGTCAATTTTTTTCTAATCCAAAATGTATACTGTTAACAATCCCTAGGGGGAGCAGGAAGCCTTTCCCAGAGAGACCAAAAGCCAAGGGAAGAAAAACATGGCAGCCAAGCCTCCAGGGGGCGCTCAAGCCAGGCCTAAGCTTTGTTCTTTCCCTGACTACCAAATCCTAAGACATTTGCTAAATATTCAGTAAATTCCATCGTGAATCCTTTGGTGCTGGTAACTGTTATACTCCTTGCATGACTTGACCTGAATTTACAATCATTTACTGCTTTCTGGTAAAATTTTTCCTACCCATATAAAAGCACTTTCCCAACCAACGTTTAGCCACATTTATAAATTACACTCATGTTCTTTCTTTTTGATACATTCTAAATACTCACAGGGCTTATCATTAGCCTGACTGACTCAAAATTAAAATATTAGTGATTTAAAGTAAGAGTCAGACTTTCTGTATTCAAATCACAGGCACTTGTTAATTGTGGTGTTGGATAAATTTTGTTCTCTCTGAACCTCAGTTTACACATTGTAATTTGACAATAATAACAATGCCAATCCTACAGAGCTGTTTTAAGGTTTGGGAGAGAAAATAAATATAAAATATAGCATGGTGCCTAGCATATAGGAAATGCTTAATAATGTTAAAAGCCAATATTGATTTTTTTAAATACATGCCAGGCAATCACCAAATAAGGCAAACATTATTGTCCCCATTTTGCAGATGAAGAATTCAAGCATGATATAGTTACAATTTGCCTATGTCATACAGCTAGAAAATAGAAGAGCTGGACACAAACCTAGTCACCTTGGCTCCAGAATCTGTGCCCTCAGTGGCTGGAACAGGCCACTCTCTTTTAAGGGTTAGAAGCAGTAGGTATGGCTGCCACTATTTTTTACTTTTGTTATCTGCATAGGTTTTTATTACTACAACCATGTGCAAATTCTCCAGTCAATACTCAAGACAATTACAAATATGTCTGAAATATATTCTTTTACATCGATATTAGAGCAATTTCAGTAAATTCACAGGAGTAGATAATGTAATCTATATGAAATTTGACAGATCTTCATTAAAAGATTCATCCCACCCAGACTTAGCTTTTAAGAAAAAGAAGATCAAATTTGAAGAGGTAGAATGTTTTAATAAGAACTACACCACCTGGGCTAAAAGCTCCTCAAAACTTTCTCTCAACTATTTAATATCTAGAAAGAAAAAATTTAAAAGATCTAAAAAAATTATTGGAAAAATTAGGAAAAGTATGCTATCATTAACCAAACTTTGTAACACTAATAGGTAGTAGTCGCTAGCCAGGTGAGGATATAAAATAACTTAAAACTATTTAGGAATTCATAAATAAGGAAAACTGGCTTGTAATATTTTAATGCTGGGATCTGAAATAAATGAATGCATCTGTAATGTTCCCTATTTTCCAACATATTCATTTCTTAGCCCTTTAAAGAGCTGGTAAACTGAAATTGCCCTGAAATGTTTGCATCAAATTAACTTTCTCTGGAATATATGGAAAACTTAGTGCACGTGTTAAAAAGACCATCATTAGAAAGCCGCCTGTGTGCTTCTGCCAAATGACTGCTGCACAGGCAACCTAGTACCTTCTGGCAACTTTCATGCCTCTGTGAATGTTAGCTTCTGTCCTTAAAATACCACCTGAAGAAATACTTAAACCTTAAAACTCAGCTCAAATGCAACCTTCCGATGCCCCTGACATTCTTATGTGCCAATATCCATTTATCCAGCACCTACACAATACCTAGCACACAGCAGAGAATATTAAGTCATTGTTCAATGGATTAACCATAGTTTAATTATTTGTTTAGCTATCCTACAGGACATGCCATCATTAATTTCTTATTTCTCCCAGTCACCACTACCATGTGTGCAACAGTATATACTTGTTGATGACTTGTTAAATAAATAATCACTTTCTATTTACGTGATAGAATATATGTATTGGCCATCCATTTGGAGAAATACTTATTATGGACCAAGCACACTGTCACGTAGTGGGAATACAGAAATTAACTAGACATAGATCTTTAAGAATTTCAAAGTCAAAAGACAGATAAGAAAATCAATAACCACAGTGCAGGGTAAGAAGTACTCTGCACAGAAGGACACCATAAGTGTTATGAGGGCTCCATGGAACAGCACCAAAAGAAGGTATGCTAACTCCTATATGTAGTGTACAACAGAGCTCCACAAACCACACTCTATCATAATGTGTAAAGTTCTTTTGAAAAGATTCTACAGAAATTATCAAGAGGAAAAACAGACAGCAAAACAAAAATATTACATTCTAGAATAGTATCAGTTACACATGCTTTTTCATTATTGTTTTAGTCTCCAGTCCTCATGAAAATTCAACATAGAAACTTTAAAAAGAAATTTTATAGGGTACGTATGAAATGAAACTGTTGGGTTTTGCCTGTGTTTGCTACAGACCAATGAAAGAACTATTTGTTAAAATTTCAGCCAGCTAGACTGCAAAAAAAAAGTTTTGAGACTCAAACATGCAAATAATCATGCCCTCCAGTGTTTGCCATTTTATGAAGAGAGAGAATTTACACTTGATTTTATTTTTAAAATAGTCTACCTGTGATAAATATTACTTTGAGGCCAACCCTATCATCATATAATTCTAACTTCTGATATTAAAGTAAAACTTTTGATATTAAAACAAAAGAATATAATCTAAAGACTGAGACTGTTATGCTAATAAGAAAATGATTCAAATCATAAGGTTCTGTAATAATTATAAACTAAGACTTAACAAGGAACTCTACGTATACATATAAATATATATATACATAAAATATACCTTTCTTATAAGAAAGAAGTTGAAATGTTTCAATCTATCAAAGTGAATGAGCTACCAATACCCTAAACACAGAGTATAAAGTCTTTCTCACATTTATTTGTAGCACTCAAAGAGCAAAATGCAAACATTTAGAAGCGGAATTAATATTTACCCAAGACTGAATGTCTCATCTGGAAAAATGACTAGTTTTCAAAAAATAACTCAGTGTGTTTTCAGTTTTTTAGATCGAAAATTTTTTGTCATACTATATCTAATATACTATCATACACTTTAAAAGAAAACCATACTTTCAGAAGTTATAGTAAAATGGCAACCCAATATTTGTAAATGATTTTTAGCAAACCTCTTAGATTAAAATTTGGAATTTTAATAGCTATTTTTTCATAGCTATTGAATAGAAGGAAGGGTAAAACCATAGTAATAAATGTTCTCTGAAAACAAAAACTGGGAACTTTTTTAAGCTGTCCCTTTAATAGAATGATTTCATTAGAAAACTCTGGAAAAGGCAAACTCATTTTACAAGCAGCTAAAGTGTTTTTATGGAAGAGAGGTATTTACAAGCAGCTCATTAATCATAAAAGTGGTATTGGAGCAAAATTCTTTCCATAATCCTGTTCATTATATACTAACCATTATGTTGCATGCCAATTCCTTTACAGTTATATTTACATATAAAGCTAATGACAGCAATATGGCAGTTATGAAATTATCATGGATTTTAGCTACAAGCAACCTTATATTATATAAACCAGGATGCTTCTGTTGGTGAAATAGGGCAAAAATAGTTCTACATGAGCCAGCATGGTGACACACACCTGTAATCCCAACACTAGGAAGGCTGATACAGGCAGATCATGAGTTTGAGGCTGGTGTGGGCCACATATCAAGACCATCTCAAAAAAAAGAGAAAAATTCTACCATGAGAGCAGATACCAACTTGTAATCGACCTGATGTCCAGAAGGTATGGTCATCCTTATTTTAGAGAACACAATTCTAATTAATACTCTTGTTAAGGTTTTTAATTCATGCTACAAATAAAACCTGATTGGAGAAGAAATAAATTTCCTTACCAATATCAATGTATTTAGGGTCCAAGGGTGTGCCAATAGAATTACAAAGAACCAGCACATACTGTGAATAAATAAAACAAAAAGAATATCAGAAATCTTGCTTATTAATAATAAAGGAAATACGTTTAATATATATATATATCATGCTTAGCTTTTTCAAGTATCACTAACTTGGAAATAATTAATAAAATTGTTAGTTATGAAGAACAGCAGACAAAAAGAAAGACAATCTACAGCATTAACTATTAAAAACAACATGAATTAAAATTAAACCAAGACTTACTTCTCAACATAATAGAACACCACAGTTTTAGGAGGACACTTAATAAATACAAGTACACTGGTTACTTTTCATCATTTATACTTCTAAAATTCCTGATCACTATAACATCAAAACTCACTTTTATCCTATGAGCAGGTGTATAAGAGCTAAGGTTATTTGTTACTGTTGCACCAAATGTCTCCATCTCATTCTCCTCCTTGGAAGCAATACATAAATGACATGAGAGATTTAGAAAAATTCAGTTAATTTAGGAAAGATATAATCCAACCTGGTAAAAATGACCTATATCCAAATATTACCACTGTAAGAAAATAACTGAACACAATGCACTTTAGTTCATACCATTCTAAAGTGATAATTTCATTTTTTAGTGTTACTTTTATTATATCTTGTACTAACAATACTACTCTACATAGGTGCTTTCCTAACAACAATAATTTCAAACAAACCAATTTTCTATGTGCTATTTCCAGAGTTTTTTCCTGTTTTCAGCATCTCAATTAAAACTCATTTACTTAATTTCATAAATATAAGCTTTATGATAAAAAATATACTAGAATATCATAATTTACCCACAAAAATAGCACAGTTTAACTTACCTTTCATCTTTATCAGTTATACATTTATAGTTTCAAGAATCAAATATTTCCACAAGACTCCTCACTAAACTAGTAACCCTTCCTAACTTCCCATTCCCCACGCCTTCTAATGCCTCCCTTTACTATTTATCTCCATGAATCCAAGCAACGTGTTTATAATGCTACCTTTTGGGGGGGATTGGTTTTTTTTTTCGATCTAGTACATTATCTGTTGCCTTCCCACTATGAAAGATAAGCATTTAGCTTTTTCCATTTACTATTCCAGTCCCCTTCCACACATGAACAGATTTAGATCCTTCTATCTTTCCACTTTTTGGCAGTACTGGAGACTGAAATCAGGGCAAGTGCTCAACCACTTGAGCCATGCCGCCAGTCCATCTTTCTACTTTTAACATAATTTTGCCAAATCAGAATTTAGGTTTACATATGCTTATTATATTTCAATTACTTTTTTAATTGAAGAAACCTCAGTGATCACATAATTTAACTATGCAAATGCTACTCACAGCTAAGCCATCAAATATAACATGATTTATTTTCCTTTTAAGCATATTTTGCTGTCCTTATCATTGATAATTGTCTTTCTTTCTCTTTTCTTAAGCTTTCTATGTACTTGTTGCTAACTGGAATCCCCAGTTATCCCCAGTTAAGTGTATTTCCTCTCAAGGGTTTCAACATATATGAGATACTCTAGTGATTGTATCCACTTGAATTTTGCTTGTTTTGAGTTTTTGTTGGTTATTTGCTTTCATTGTTGTTTTTTTTTTTCTATGTTGCTCCAGCTGGCCTCAAAGTCTCAATCCTCCTCCCTTAGCCTCTCAAGAGTTAGTATTACAGGTGTGCACCACCACACCCAGCTTCTCTTGAATATCCTCTGGAGCCTTATGTCCTCTTCTGGCCTGATTCCCTGGGCATGCTGCATAGCAGCGAGCTGATACTACTCCTCACTGTCCTCCTGTTTTTATCTTTCTTTGGTTTACTCCTCATTTTGGCAGACTTTATGCTGAAGTAACTCTCCAAGATATAGAAGCTTGCCAGGTAAATTTTTGGTGGCCTTGCACATCTAAAAAAGTCTGTGTTCTATTTTCACACCTAGTAATTTAAGATATGGAATTCTAGATGGGAAATTATTTCCCCTCAGGATTTTAAGGCAATTCTCCTAAGTATTGCTATTGACAAGTGGAATGCCATCGACTACTTGTCTTGTGAAATCTGTTTTCCTCTCTGAAAGCTTCTAGGATTTTTTTTTTATCCCCAGTGTTCTGAAATTTCGCAATGATGTGTCTTGATGTGGAAATATTTTTATTCACTAAGTTAGGCACTTTCAATCAAGAACCTCAAAGGAAATTCACTTGGACTTCTTTTTTTTCAGATTTATTCCCCCTTTAATTTGCCTGTTCACTCTTTTAAAACTACTATTCTATTCAAATGCTAAATTTCTAGTACTAGTCCTCTAATTTTCATATTTTTCACTATCTTCCATTTCCTTGTCTTTTTTACTTTATAGATGTTTCCCTTTATCTTATTTTCTCATCCTTCTGCAGAATTTTTCATTGTGGTTGTAATTTTCCAAAATTTTTTTCTAGAGTATCCTTTTCTTATTTTACATATGGAAATCTCTTAACTCTCTGAGGATAACAGTGACAATTTCTTTGAGATAATAGTGCTTTTGAGTGTTCTTTTTATGTGGTCTCTGCTCCCTCCAAGTTCTTTTCTTGTGTGTTTAATTGGTGTCTGTTTGTTAAAGCAGATGCTTCCCTTAAGTATCTGAGTCTCCTGCTCTATTGAAGAGCAGGATGCTAAGAAGCTGTTTGGAATCTATTTGTCTGTGAATGAGACTCATCAGCCATGGTCCTTACTATGAAGCAGGACTGTTTCCTTAGGGACTCCCAATCTGAGTATCATTAGTGTCTTTTCTCCTGAGCTGGTCAAATATTCAGGCAAGAATCTCCCAGCCTGCAACTTCAAAGCTTGGAGCTTAGCTGACAGTGCTCTGAGAACCATGTAGGAAAAGAAGATGGGGTAACACTGAGTGGTGAACTTTTAATTGTCAAGTTTTCAGTCAAGTTTTCCCACCCCCCCACTCAGTGTCCATCAGTGTTCCTTTTGATCCTCCCTGGGACTAAATCCCAGTCTTAATAGGTGGTAAGAGGGCCGGTCACTGACTATGGTCTCAAAGAAGGGAAAGAGACCTGGGAATCTGTTTATCTTCTTTCCTTCCTTCCTTCCTACATTCCTTCCTTCTTTCCTTCCTTCTCTCCCTCCCTCCCTCACTCCCCCCACCTTTGTTGTTCAAGTTTTCTCTTTCCTGCATCATCTCTGGTACTTCAAATTTCATGTTTGTAGCTTTCTCCTACCAGGAAACCCAAGTCCTGTCTGCCTCCTCAGCATTCTACAAACAGTTGCCCCTTTACTTTCTCCATGAATGGGTTATAGCTCAGCTTTCTTAGATCTGCTAAGGTAATTACTGCTAATCCAGCCATTCTCTAGCCTCCAAAATTTTGTTGCCATTTCCTCACCTTTCTGGTCCCTATGGGCTTGTGACTTCTTAAAAAATGCCTTTGCTGTTGTTTTTATAAGTTTCAGGAGAGAACAAAGCCAAATGTGACTATTCAAGTGGTCACCTTTAACCAAAAACTCTATACCTTTAAATTAGAACCCAGCCAAAGGTGTTGGCAGTCCTATTTTTAAGTACTTACATACTTCTGCAAGTATTTAAGTTATTATACTTTTAAAAATATGTTATTCTGTAAGATACTGGTTTTTAAAGCAATATAACCCCCAAAAAAGTAGATCTCTCAATGTCAAAGGGTGTCCAAACTTATAAATGCTCACTGTTACATAGTTTCTACAGAATTTCTACTAGGCATCAGAATATTCATTTCTGGCTTATGGAATTTTGATTGGAAAAGGACTGTGGTATCTTAAATATATTTCAGAGACAAAAGTTTCAGGACTAACCGGTCAATATGAACTGCTAAGGAGAAAAAAAAAGAATAAGGGATCCAGAACCAATGGAATCTCATTTTCCAAAACAGGTCCAGCAGACATGGCCAACAGATCCAGTGTGCTACTACCTTGCCAGCATACAGGCCGTGCTTAAGAAGGCAGACTGTAGCCAATTCTGCCCATTGGTGACCCATCTGTGCTTTAAGATTCCTAGAAGAACCTACCTGAGGATGACTTTCATCAACTTTAGTAGCCAAAATACAGAAATCGCCACAGGTGGTGATGGAAATGAGACTCTTCACATATTTAACATATTTCTCATTGCTTTTCGTATCCCAAAATACTACGCAGTACTCAGGACGATCAGGTCTGGTATATGCATAAACCACTGTGTTTAAGCAATAGCCCCACTAGGAAGAAAAAAGGAAAAAAGGGAAGGGATAGAAGAAAGGATGGAAGACAGAAAGGAGAAAGAAATAAAGAGAGAACATTCAGGTTGGGGAAGAAAAATCTTTTTATTTTTATTCTAGAAATATTGCAGGTAGGTAGTTTATCAGTGCTGACAAAATATATCCTTCAGAAATGGAAGAAAGGACTGAATTGTAAGCTTACCACCTTTTTCTCATGAGCAAAAATTCTAAAAAGGCATTTTAAAAACAAAGAACATATTGAAAAAATCAATTTAGTTTAACTTTCCTTAATTTATAAAGCTTCACTGGTGAAAATTTTTAATAGTTAATAGCTGTCATGGCAGGAGGGGAGACACAAGTAGAGTAATAAATCACTGATTGATTTTGGTGTCTCCAAACTAAAATTTAAAAAAACAGGCACTTTGCTTTTCTCCCCATCCACATTTTTAATAGGATTTGTTTTTATAGCAAAATCTTTCTATATGGAAAGACAAAGTACAGATTCCTCCCTCCACTGCAACAAAAATACAAAATGCAGATTCCTCCTGCCTTTGCAACTTCCTCTCAGGAATAACTGTGTACAAATCTCTTAGCTACAACTATTTGGGTATTTAGCTCACTCACATTATCCATTGATTATGGAACTTACACACTTACAGCTTTTCCTTCTGTCTAACTCTCAAGTATACTTTTTATATGTAATTTTGAATAAATCAATACTCACTGTCAAATTATGATTAGATGTACTATGCAAAGCTAAATTATGTTCAGCATTTTATATCTCATACTTTCTAAAATAAACTTTGACTTTAAAAGTTTTAGATTTACAGAAAAGTTGCAATGATAGTACAGAGTTCTCATACAGACACATCTGTTCTCCCCTACTGTTAACATCTCACATTATTACCGTGGAACACTTGTTACAACTAAGAACCCAACATTACTAGCAACTAATCACTCTTACTGTTGGATTTAACTAAACTCCATACTTTATTTGGACTTCAATTATTTTTCCGTAATTTCCTTTTGCTATCCCAGAATCTCATCTGAATATATTATATCAGTCATCATGTCTCCTTCGGTTCCTTTGGGCTGTGACAGGTTTTTTGTTTTTGTTTTTGTTTTTGTTTTTTGTTTTTTTCAATTCACAATAAATTTATTTTACATGAAAGAAAAAACTTGCTGTTAATGAAAAATTCAGTAGAAAATAATTCTGCTTTAAATTGGGGCCCAAAAGTAGAAGTTGCTTGCTAGTGAAACCTCAGTAGAAAGAAAATTTTATAAGAAAATAGTCTTGGCAGAAAAGCTCTGATACAAATTCTGTAATAAGATATTTACTATGCAACTTCACTGGCAGAAAGGCCAGTTTCTAATGGCTGGGATTGCTTTCTTCCCAGTCTCTTAAAACATTAACATGGGAGATACTTAAAACCGGTTTATTGTGGTGGTTTCTTAATCTCCCTGCTTTTGATGACCTTAACAATGTAGAGAGTACTGTTTGAGTATTTTGAAGAGTGCCTCTCTTGGGTTTGTCAGATGTTTTTCTCATGCTTACACTGGGAGTATTGGCTTTCAGGAAGAGCATCACAGAAGTGAAATGCTCTTCTTGTCATGTCCTGTTAAGGGGTACATGACATTGCTGGAGATGTTAACTTTGATCACTTAGTCACAGTGAGGTTTGCCAGGTTTCTCCACTAAAAAACTCTTCTTTTTTCCTCTCTAGGCTAGGGGGATAGGGACTACACTGTACCTCCAGAGAGCATTATGTAAGTTGGAATACTTATGTAAGGAAAGTCTGTTTCTTCTCTCCCATTTATTTATTTAAATAATTTGTTTATATATTTATTGATTCATGGATATTTATCTTACTTATAATCTGAGTTATTAAAATGTTACATCACTTATTTTGTCTCTCAAATTATTCCAGCTTTGGTTCTTCCAGATCATCTGCCTCACCCTTTTGACATACCAGCATCCTTTTGTGTTAGGGCACTTCCTTACTGCCCAGCACTGTAAGATGTTCCAGGTTTATCTTATATTTTCTCTGCTCTAGTCTTTGAATCAGACATTTCTCCAGGACACTTTGCCACTTAAAAATTAAATATATAAGATTTTCCATAACAAATAGTTTATCAAATCCATCTCATATTTCAGAGCCTGACTTGGAACAAATGTTAAGTTTAAGATAAAATATTGATTAAACATTTTGTGGCTTGCTTACTCTCATTTTCCCTTTCTGGTCCACTCTCTGCCCCTTTCAACTTTGCTCTGAACCTGGAGGCTGAGTTCTATGAAGTCCATCACCTGGACTGCCTTGCCTACTGGCTCCTACTTGGATCTGACTATTAGAAGGTACAAGGAGGTAGAAGGATAAAAGTCCCTCAGTCCCTCTCTGTCTAGCCAGTTGGCAGTGGCTATGCCCTAGCTGGACAGTATCTCTTGCATAGCCATAGATCTCGTGCGTTTTAGGAATGTTACTCCTTTACCTTGCCCCTTCAAGCCCAGGACTGGTGATAACACCTCATATTTGCTAAGCTCTGAGTACCAACTCTTACCTCCTTTGCTGTTCCCTTAACCCTGCCTATTACCTCTGTAGGTAAAAAGCCCCTCAGTTACTCCCTTGAGTGGCCTATGCTTCCTTCTGAGATCCTGACCCATTGAGTCATTTTTCTAACTATACATAGCATTCTAGAAGAGCTTACTATTCACTGGTTCTAAGGCCTTTACACACACGCACAGACACACACACACACACAAAGCCTCCTTTCTACTATTTCCTAAACAAAACAGTTATGAATATACTTTGAGCTACAACAAAATTATTTAGTAAAAACACTTTATCTTACAACTACTCTTAATACCTTATAATCAGGTCGAATATTTGCAAAATATATAAAGGAATCAACAGCCAGTGCAATTTTCAATCCACCTCCTTCCCAAGACAGTGCAGACATCTGCTTTCCAGGAACTTTCAGAGTACCCAGATGCTGGAGGAAAAAAATACATATTATCCCTGAAGTATCACAATGAAAACCTACCACCAAGCACTTCATCAAGATCAAAAGTCATTTCTTATGTCAAATTTCTGGGGGTTTTTTTTTCTTTTTTCTTTTAGTTTTTTGAGACAGGGTCTCTCTTTGTAGCCTAGGCTGGCCTTGAACTCAGCCTCCTGAGTGCTGGGATTACAGGTATATGACCAGCAAACATGGGTTTCTAAGTGTACAATTTACAAAATATGATAAGACCCAATGAAGACTTATAAAATGAAGATAATATTCAGATATTCACTTGGTATCTAAAAATTATTACTCAAAATGTCCCTAAAAGAAAATATGACAAGTTTATACCTTTTCCTGTGTTCTTTTTTCCCCTACTTACTACTGCACCTACCTTTGAATAGGAAAAAGATAAAGCCTAAATACGTTTACCTCACCAAATGGAGTGTAAAACTGCACAGTGTTGACATCTTTATCCTGAATGACTGCTTTCTGGGAGCCTGCCACCGCTAGTACACTGCCAATATGGTTCCACTGGATACTGACAACATACATGCCCGTATCAACAAAAACTGGGTCTAGTCAAAACAAAAACAGGGTAACGGTGGTAATACACTGAGCCTAGAGAATTTTATGACCTCAAGAACAATTTTTAGATATTTTAAATTTTCCAATTTTAAAAAAAGCAGAAAGATTACTTACTTTGGTCATTCTCATGTCTCATTATTTGGCATCTTCCATTGTCAAAACAAATTGCCAGGCAAGGACAATCAGGCTCCACGTAGCCTTCTGTGCCATGGTACCAATGAATCCCAGCAATGCTGATTGCTCCAGTGACATTCACCAGACAATTCAGTTTCATTTTCATCTAGATAGAATTAGTCAGGTTGAACATTTACATTTTCACACAGAGCAGTGTGAAAGAAGTGTTGTAGGAAGAACACTGAAGACAGGGTTTAAAATCTGGCTGCAAGCTCCATCACTTACTGGTTCATCACCACATGGGGACTCTCCATGTCCCCATGTACAAGGCGAAAATTACAAAACACTCACAGAGGTCATTCTCATTCTCTCTCTAGAGACAATCACTTTCAGTCTCTTGAAAGTGTATTCCTTTCCTAATAAACTTTGCTATCACTTTCACTACCAAAAAAAAACCTCACAGTTTTTATGAGATTCAAACAACAAGTGGTATATGAAAGCACTTTGAAAACAGCAAAGCATCATACAAAAGCTAGCCATTTTACTGCCACCAGTAAGTGGATTTATGTAAGGTCCCAAACCTCTCCATAAATAAAAATGCTCCATCAGAGATCATAAATCTATCCTGGCTAAAGCATACAAAACCAGAACTTTTCTCCAAATTATACTACCTGAACTTACCCTATTTTACCTTCTTGCTAGAAATTGACTTTTTCTCCCTTACGGTTTAAGTTTCCCATTCTTCTTACAAACAAACTTTAGTTGCTACAAAAATATCTTTGGTATTCTCATGTAAACTTTGGCTTTAGGCACCAGAAGACACTTAAAAAGCTTAAACTGTACCCTCCTACTCAGTATTTCCTGCTTTGGTGCATCTTGTCCTATCTAGCTACTGGGAAATCAGATCCAGAAGTTATACTTGAATAAGTTGCATTAATTTGCCTTAAAGAAACCAAGACTTGTTTTCAATTTTAAAAAAATTCTTAATTAAAAATAAACTGAAGTCTAATCATATCATAATAAATATATATGAATGATATATAAAATAATTATACAAAATTATATAAATAGAAATAATATGTGCTTACTAAAAAATTTCCTTGATTATCATAAATGTGTATTTCCCCATTTGCCATTCCAAAAAGTAAGACTTTACTATCCACAGACCAGGCTACATGACACAGCTGTACACCCTTCAGGTCTTTTCCCCAAATACGATTCCCTAAAACAAAACATAAATATAATTATTAAAATTCAGAGTCACAATCCTCCAACACCTGCTTTCAAAATCTTTGTCTCCCTAAAGAGCTCTCATATTCTTCACAACATCCACGCACCTATTATTGATTGATCAATTTACTTCGTCAATAAATATTTACTGAGCATGCATATAAGCTCAATACCCTAAGAGACCTTTTCAGTAGCAGATATTTCAAGCTTTCTACCCTTTTTTCTATACTCTGATGTAGGGTCTCACTCCCAATTACCAGATGAGCCCATCATCTACGTTATTCTTGGCACAACTGGAGTTTGAACTCAGGGCCTCACACTTGCTAGGCAGGCACTCTACCACTTGAACCATTTTACTAGCCCTAGCCATCTCCTACTTTTGAAAGAAAATAAAAATTCCTTCCTTTCAAACATTAAATCATAAATGAATTCACACTTAACCGTTTTGCTTTACCCCCTAATACAAATCCTCCCACCTATCCTATGATCTATCTCTTCCTAGCTTTGCAAAAATATACTTCTACAGATTACTCTCATTTTCTCTTATTAAACTCCTCTCTCTAGTCTCTTATAAACATTTTAAAATATATATCTTCTAAATCAGCCCTTCAAATAAAAACAAAACACTTCCCTTAACTAACTTTCTCTAGCTACCATTATATCCTATCACTACTTCCCAGCCAAACTTCTTGAATTCTTTATACTTACAGACTCCACATCCTTCCCTTCCTCTCCACTCTTAACCCATTCTAGTCTAGCTTTTGCTCCACAACTCCGTGAGTTCATTCATCTACTTCAATTTATAAATTACCCTGCATATCCTGGTGATTTCCCAAATTATGCCTTTAGTCCGGATATTTCTAAGCTGCCGACTTAAATATCTATGGTCTTGATATATTTACTTGGATAGCCTATGGCATGACAAAAATTAACATGTCTAAAACAGAAATCCACCCTCAAAATCAATTTGATGAAAAACACCATCATCCATCCAACTGCCAAAGCTAAAATCCCAAATAGCATCCTAGACACTTGTATCCTCTCACTTACATTCCAATCAGTAAGATCCTACCTATGTTATTTCCTGAGGATCTCTAAAGTCCACTTATTTCTAGAGGCTATACCCTGATTCATGCTGCCATCTACCATCATCTCTCACCGTTAGCAATTTCCTAACTAATACACTTGTCAGCTTTCTTTCCTTTGTCCATTCTCCATATTGTGGCCACAAAGATGCCTCTAAAAAAATCACATTGTCCCGTTCTTAAAAACCTTCATTGCCTTCCCAATGCTCTTAAAGTCTGAACTCCTTAATATAATTTATATTTTGCATGATCAGCTCTGTTTATCTCTCTAGTTCATTATATACTACTGTTTACCTTTAGTATTATCCTCTATGGATAATTGACTTTTTCCAATGCCACAAATATAGCTGTTTATGTTTGCCTCCTCTGAACCTCCTCAAATGTTATTTCTTAGGCCTGAGACATTCTACATATATATCTACCATAGATAGCACTTTCTCTGGGAGGCCTTCCCTGATCCCTCCATATCTGCACTTGGTGGTACTTCTACATGTTCCTGTGTTTTCCCTGTTTCAGTCCAGATCACAGGGTGTTGTGATTGCTTGGTTACTTATTACCTCTCCTGATCTAGGTATGGAATATTTTTCATTGTTGTATCTTTGTTCCTAAAACTCTCTCTGTTGCTTTATAAGCTCTCAGAATGTCTGTTGATTACAATATACATACAAATGGAGAGATGGAAATGATTTTCAAAAAATTTCTATCTAGACAGAGTTTCATATGAAAACAAAGGTATAGGCTTGCAGAAGACCCAGTTCCATCTACGTACAAGAATTTTAAAGACACAGGTTTTAAGGCTATAAAATACAACGAACAATGCCAAACTCTGGTCTCTTAAAATATCACAGATTGTTATAATTTTATATACTTTTTGAAACTAAAATCTATTTGTACAATCTAACCAATATACAGATAAATTACATTATGAACACTTTTAAAATAATGCCAAGGAACTGATTTTTTTCAGTACCACTGAAATGAAAAGGAATAGACTTTTCTGTCTCAAATATACTTAAAATCAAATGGTTAGAACCAAAAGGTAGTTCTTAGATGTGATCAAATTATATATCAAGTATTTTCCCCCTTTTATGTCTATTTTCTAATTAGAATGCTAACATTTGATAATTAACTGAAATCTCTAAAGATTAAAAAAAATCAGCTGAATATTGGTCTTAGTCCAGTGTCCACTGAGTGCCTTACCATCCACTGATCCAACTATCACAGCCCCATCTTCGTACACAATGCAGATCTTCTGGCCATCCGCATTCCAGCTCATACTACGAACCACTGACTTATTTCGATTATTGATCATCTCCTCATACCAAGAACCTGTTTCACAAATTAAAAAAACTTCAAGTCAACACTTCTACATCAATTAAATGGCATTTAAGAGCTAACAACATTTATAAAGCATACTTTGGGGTAAATAACTGCAAAGTTTTCTATAGCCTGGGACATTGAACTATAGAATTTTCTAATCCAATGTAAACAAAATGAAAGATTATCTTGGCTATAGGTGCCAATTGCTTAAAAGATTATCACAGAAAACACAACAAACACTATTTCTCTTATTTCCTTTTTCCCTCTTTCTTCTTGTCAATTAAAAAAATAAAACTTCATTTGCTTTTGCAGGGCCAAAAGAACTGATTTTTCTGAAAGCCTAACTTTTCTCAATTGAATAACACATTTCAGATAATAACTAAGGAAAAATAACAAAAAAGCAACAACTTTTTATGTACGAATAAACTCTCCAATTATTAATTACAAACATGTTGGGTAAAAACATATAGAATACCAGGTTAATTCCAAGCCTGCTCTTAAAAGTTCTTAAACAGTTCATATTACATTGGAAATGGGCCATCACTAATACTGAATGACAAAAATATTCTAGCTGCACAGAGTTGGAGATGTAATTTGTCTTGTAGTAGAACCAAACTAGAGGCAAAAAAGAGGGGGGGAACGCTATTTTGTCTTTAGCTTTGTATTTCTTAAAGTCTTACCACATTCTGGTATCGGGAACTCTGGCCAGCAGCCAAGCAAATAATCATGTGATTTGGAATAACTAGTCAAAAAAGGGTATCAATAAAATCAAGACTGAGACCTTGAAAAGACTAGCCTTGAAAACAGATAGTTTACTCCAATATATGTTGTATTTTCACACTCTAGCCCACTCCACCCCTACACACACATACACACACTTTAAACGTAAAATTCAAGTATAACAGCATATTTTTTAATTAAGGATTTGTAAATGGTGTACCTTCAACCTTGTCACAACAGCATATATTAACTAAAGAAAATGATGGATATAGGCCTCAAGAGAATATTATGAGTTGCTTTTCTAGTACTAGTGATTCATCTGAGTTAATCCTTCTCTTCCCCTTACCTCCTCAATCTCCCTTGTGGACAAGAGGCACAAACTATGAGGCAGTTGTCAGAGCTTTAGATAAAACCTATCTCCGAAAGAAAAGGAAGCTAAGTGGCACAGTACAGGAAATGAACTGTAGCCTTTGACTTCTTCATAAATGCATTTGTGACTAGTCAGTAACTCTAGCTACCAACCACATAGGAACTAATTCTAACTGGAAATTAGGGACTGGGGGAGCTTTCCCAAGTAGAAACTACTCTACTGAAGTGTCTGAGTTTATTTTGGAGAAGTCAACAGCCACCCAATTCACTTTCTTAATGCAGGGTGTCACAGTTCAAAGGAAATACATTGAAAAGAAAAGCAGACAGAAGTAAATCCAGAAATATCATCGGTACTAGTTTCAAGGGGTCTATTTCACTGATGTTATTTCTCCATCCAAATATTGTGATCCAGACTCCAATTTGTGAAAGATTAAAGCAGCTCTCCTACTATACCTTTATATAACATCCAGACAATGATAAGCCCATTTTGATCACTGGTAGTTAACTTCTGATACTGTTCATTCCATGTTACAACTTGAACAGAACCTAGGACATTAGAAAACAATTTAGAAACTTAAAAATGGCTGCATTAATTTCAAATCTGTATCTTTATATAAATACCAAAAAGCATGTCAAAATCAATATAATTCTTAGTATTTAATATAAAATTAAAATATTTTGACTACCAAAAATATTCATAGGTTATAATTACTGAGATCAATAATTTTCTAAAACAATGCATAATAACTCTTTCATCTCTACTCTTATTTCATGTCTGCAAAGGCATCTCTCATGGCCAGCTGCAAGAGTTGCCTCCGACCTGAGAACAGAAACGCATATAAGCATGATTTACCAAACTGACTCAGCTCCCAAGGATAATGATGTCCAAAGGATATTAAATTGGTTGTCCTTTTTGTTTTTTGTTGCTGTTTTTTGTGGTTGTTATTTGGTTGGTTGGTTGGTTTGGGTTGCTATGCCCCATAGCTTATTTTCCCTCTTCCCTCTACCCCAGTTTTCCATTCTATTAGTGAGACACTCTCAAGAACATCCTAAACCTCTGGATTATATGAATAACTGACTTCTTTTGATTTTCTTACCCCTAAATATTTTATATATACTTAATATAATTATATACACTTTATACTTTACATATATATATATATATATATATATATAATATATATATATACATATACATATATACACATATATATCCTAAGGACACTCTCTTTCATAACCGTATTACAAATTAAGAAATTGAACATTGATAAAATATTACCTAACACATAGTCCATTTTCAAATTTTGTCAATTGTTCATGTCCTTTCTAGGGACTTGTATTTCTAATTCCAGGATCCCACCTAAGATCAGACAGTACATTCATGTATAATATCTCTTTAGTCTCCTTTAATCTTGAGTAACAGGAGAGAATCTTTAGAAAGAATCTGTGTCACCCATAGACAGACAACAGTATTTTAATATATAAAATAATAGCTACTTTTTCCAGATTTCTCAAAACTAGTATTTATTTAATCCTGTAGAAATTATTGAAAAACCCTAGGTCATATGAATCATAGCTCAATAAAAATGATCACTTTAAATATTATAATAATCTAAATGTTGACATTACTGCATTAAGTAGATGGTCCAAAATATCTAAATACCATTCAAACATGATTTTTAAAAATTGCACGACTCACCACTGTGACCTTCAAGAGTCTGATTCATAGAAAGGTTACTAGGGGCTGCAAGACCTCTCAATTTTGCATCATCTAAAACAAAACAAGAAATTCACTATGATAAATATACAAAAATTATAAACTATAAGGTTTTGATATATCATGGGGTTTGGGGGTTTATATATCTGGGAGATATTAAAATTATTTTTTAAACTTTGCCTCATTCTGATCTATTTTTATAAAGATGCAAATGTGAAAAATAATACATACCCCTTGCAAAGACAGTGTAGTAAAACGAAGCAAAATATGTAAAAGATTTTTTATTCAGTATATTAAATATGTGAATAATTATCACTGCTGAATATTCCTTCCCAAAAGACCGCAAATAGAAATGTCTATGGATATAGATTAAACAGCCTAAGCTTATGACAGATCAAATAGCAAGGATTTTAGAAGCAACTTTTTACTAAGTTTCACAGAATCTCCTGCATTTATTCATTCATTCAACAAATACTTAATGAATGTGTAGACTGTGCTAGGCTCTATAGGTTCTAGGTATCAGATTACGAACAGGTCCTAGTTCCAGCTACTTGGGAGGCTCAGGCAGGAAGATCACTTCAGCCCAACAGTTTGAGGACAGCTTGAGCAACATAGGGAGACGCCCATGTCAGAACGAAAGTGAGATGCTATCTCAACCCGAGTCAGGATCATCACCCTCAAACCCTATCACAAGCAGCTCCATCCAAGACCACCACTCCTTTAAAGACTTTTTAGCCTGTCTAGTGTGTGAAGAATGACTAGAAGGAAAACACAGCCAATTCAAGAAGAGAAACTGATTTTTATAGTAGTCTGGGTGAGGGCTAACAGTGGCTGGAGAACCAGAGGCTGCAGGGAAGATAAAGGGAGAGGTTGGATCAAGAAACACGTGGGACAACAATTAAAAATAAATAAAAAGAAAAGAAAAGAAACACTTGGGGGATAGAAGCAACTGGATTGCTGATAGAGGTGATATTAAAGGGAGGTAGAGGTTCTAGTCTGAGCAAAATTAAGTAAAATTAAGATATTGACCAAAATGGAGAGACCTGAGAGAGTTTTGGAAGATTAGGAGTTTAGTTTTGGACATAGTTATATCTGAGATGCCTGTGGACATAGTAAGTAGAGATGCCAAGACTGAAAAATCAGGACTGAGTTGGAGATATAAATGGGAGATCATCACCTCATAGAGGGCATTTAAGGACATGGGAATTAGAGAACAAATGAAGAGAGAGCTCAGATGCAAGTTGTCAGGAGTTCCAATAGTTAAAATTAAGAATCTAGTAAAGAAACTGAGGGCTTCCCAGAGAGGTGGGGAGGATGGATAATGTCTAAATATGACAATTTAAAATGTTTGACTTCTGTCTTGAAAAGTAATGTTTCAAAAAAGAAAAGATGGTCAAATGTTGATAAAAAGCCAAATAAAAGCTATTCATTAGCTTTAGTACATGAAAGTCACTAGTGAAAACAAGGAAAAGGATACTACTATTGAAAGGAGAGAGAAAGAATAATTAGCAGTGAGGTCCAGAAAAAGTGAAAAGAGACGGGCTCCTGCAGACATGAAACATGTGAGAGAAGCTGGGACCATGATGTAAAAAGCCAAGTGCTGGTGGCTCACGCCTGTAATCCTAGCTACTTGGGAGGCTGAAATACAGAGGATCAAAGTTCGAGGCCAGCCTAGGGAAACAGTCTGACGGACCCCCCTCTCCAAAATAACCACAGCAAAATGGCTGGAAGTGTGGCTCAAGCAGTATAGGTCCTATTTTGTACATGAAGCCCTCAGTTCAAAACCCAGTCCCAACAAAAAAATAACAAGTCCAACAGATGCTAGTTCTAACTCCTTTCCTTCTAAGGCAGACTGAAAATTGGAACAAACTATAAAAATCGTATAAAAATGCACACAGTTTGATCCAGTAAATGCCATTTCTAGAAATTAATCTTAGAAAGTAATCAGATATACACAAATATTTGGATACAAAAACAGAATTATTTAACCATTAAGAATGTAGAGACATCGAAATGTTGAACACTAGAGTTAGCGAAACAAATTCTGCTACCACAATATAATAGAATACTAATGAACCCCTAAAAATGTGCCAAAAAAGATGACTATTAATCGCTTTCAGCATGATTCACAATCACCATTAAGTTCCAAATCGAATTTATTATGTCTTCTAAATGTCCCAAGAATTTATTTCCCATTTGCTTACTAAGTTCACTTATTTGCTCTAATTTCAACATTCTGACTGTAGTTCATCAAAAGTGCAAACCAGGAAAAGAATCAGGTTTTTTAAAAATGTTTTCTGCTGGGCCTGGTAGTGCCTTCCGTAGTCCCAGCTAGTTGGGTGGCTGAGGCAGGAGAATTGCTCGAACCCAGAAGTTTGAAGCCCAGCCTGGGCAACGTAGCAAAACCCTGTCTCAAAAAAAAAAAAAAGAAGAAAAGCCTTCAATGTTAAACAAACTAAATGCATCTTAATGTAACTAAAACTTTTTACATATTTTAAACAAAACAAGTATCTTTTGGGCTGGCAGAGTATCTAGCAAGCATGAGGCCCTACTTCAAGCCCAGTGCTGCAAAAAAAAAGTTCAAGGCCACCCTGGGCTGCATAGTGAAACCCTGTAAATAAATAAATACTAAGGAGAATTTTAAAAAATAAGTATCTGTTAATATAGTTAAGAAAACTACAGCATTGAAAGGTTAAACTATAAAACATCAGAAGCCCAACTTTGGAACCTAAATATATATTTTTTTTTCCAGGGCCAGGGTCCTGTCTCAAGTGGTAAAGCACTTGCTTAGCAAGCATGAGGCCAAGCTCCAAACCTGTCTTTGCTTCACATAATTAAAACAATCATTCTCTTCTTTGATTAGGTTGTCTATGAGCCTAATGGTTAAAAACAAGGACTTGAAAATGAGACAAACTTAGTTTCAAGTCCCAATTCTGACACTTAGAAGCTGTGTACCCTTGGGCAAGTTATTAACTGAGCAGAGCCTCACTTTTTTCATCTGGAATACCCACCTCTCAAAACTATTGTAAAGTCAAATGAGACCATACAGATTAACCATCCAGTACATGGGAAATATTCAATAGCTACGTATGCTTCATACCACAATCAAATTTGTGTGGCAGGGCTACTCAAGTGTGGTCTGAGGATCAGCAAGACCCTATCATTAAGAGATGTAAATTTTCAGACACCATCCTATCCTACATCTACTGGAAGGGTAGGGTGTGGAACCCAGAAATCCATTTTTATAATCTCTTGGTATGATGCTTATGCCTGATAAAATTTTGGAGAAACACAAAATGTAACTCAATTTAACACTCTTATTTGACAAAAAAGTAAATTACAGTCCAAAGACACTCAGCAACTTATTGAAAATCATTTAGTACTCTTGTGGCAGAGCTAATTCTAAATCTAATCTCTTTATCTAGATCTCCAAACTTGATTAGGGATTATCTAATTATTATATAATTGTTATTATATAATAGTATATAATTATTATATAATATATAATGTGTAATATGATATATATATATAAAACATACTATTATATAATTATTATTATCTCTAGCCTAGAGCAACACTAGGGAAGCTAAAGAAATGGGAAGCTGTTTGCTGTAATTCCAGAGACTTTGAAAAAGAAACCATGCTGTAAAAGAGACCTATTTATAAAAATGTAAAATACATTCCATTTTTTGTTTGGGGGCACATGTTGTGTAATCATTGAGAAAAGATAATAAAGACTTGGAAATAACATGGCAAAAAAGCAAGACCCCACCTGAAAAATAACTAAAGCAAAAAGGGCTAGAGTCGTGACTCAAGTAGATAGCACCTGTGTTCCAGTGTAAGCAAGGCCCTGAGTTCAAACCCCACTCCCGCCAAAATACATACATAAATAATGTGAAAGGAAATGTTGATTTGCATGACTTCTATTAGACTCCTAATAATGTCACACAATAACTCGACATTGCACAAGACAACACAGTGCCTTTGTTTCATTCTTCCTTCTTTTGCATTTGCCATCAATAAGTTTAGTAAAAACCATCAGATGTTCATATTCCACATTTTCTGAATGTCATCACAAAAATGCTCCAGGAAATCACCACCAATTCTTTAGGGTATTTTTTTCTTTTTAAAAAAATTAGACTGACAAATACCCAGAGCAAATCTTATTGAATAAATGACACTAGCCATTTTTCTGCCAAGCATTTGGAATTACATTCATTTACCTGTCTGTGTTTCTAATTTCAAAACTTTCAGTAATCCATCTTCACCGCCACATGCTATGAACCCTTGGTTCTTGTTCCAGGATATACATTTCAGCTTCACATTATTGGGAATGGCAATCTGTTAAAAAAAAAAAAATCACAGCCAGGCTAGCCACTTTTCGTGAAGGAGTTGGGCAGTAAGTCTACAGGAGAAGAAAACCACGGGCCTTGGAGGAAAATGAGCTGTTACCAAATGCGCATAGTCCGCAGAAATGTCCTGGGCTCTATGCCATTTGGAAAGAGGGAAAGAAGCGCACACATGAAAAGGCCAGTGACTGTGGAGGACGCCAAGGGGGTAAATTCCCTGATAAAATTTTTAAAGGTGGGGAGAGGGTATAAATCCAGTCTGTATGCCCTTTCCCCACACAACACCTGGCTACCCTTCTACTGCTTTTCTTTTGCCCAGCATCCAGTGACGGTCCATCACCTACATCGGCAACCAGGGAAGGAAGAAATACTGTAGCACCTGATGACTTGTCCAGCTGGTCACCCAAAAGGACCTAGCAAGGGGCAGGAATGGGAGCGTCGTGCAGGGAGCTATCGGGGACTCGATCAAGGGCTGTCCGGGACTCAGAGACGAGCAGGAGGTCGGAAGCTGGACCAGGCCAGTCGGTCGGCAGCGGGAGGGCGAAGCCGCTATTGAGACTTCGCGGGAAGGATGAGAGGCCCGCCCGCGGGCTGCAGGAATGGAGAAAGAGCGAGGGCGCACCCCGCAAAACTCACTTTCTTAGTCAGGTAGAAAAACATCGTGGAAATCCGGAGAGGTCTACCGCAGCAACCAGGACCCGCAACAGGTAACTAACAAAGTCTACGTCTACAACAGCAGCTCTGAGAAGCTCCCGTCGCCCTGGCAACCGCCGCCGCCCAGTCGCATCCGGGGCGCTGAGGAGCACTTCCGGTGTCGCCCTTGCGTCTGACTGCTATCGTGCGCCTGCGCGGGTGAGGGGGCGCGGAAGAAATGGTGGAACGCTGAACTGGAGCTATACTTGGACTTGTCACCCTGTTTCTGGGCCTTTCTGCTGTCTGCTGGGGGCTGGCCTGGCGACCTGCACCCCACCTCGTCGCCTCCGCTGCCCGCGCCGGCTCTGATGACGCCCCAGGCCGCACATGGGACCCGCTCGCCTCAAGTGTCAGTAAAACTGAGAAGGAAAGGCGGCCATTCCTGAGGTCACACGGAGTTGGTATTTTGTAAGCCACTGTCCCTACATTCTTAAAAGAAAAGCTCATGTATTGCAGTTCGTAGGCTAGAACCCGCGGCCCTGTAGTAGTGCAAATTTGCGTTTTGAGGATTGCCTTCTGCTTTCGAAGATTGGAAAACCCTCTGGATCGATTTACAAGAAGAGGAGTTCGTTTATTCTGTTCTGGAATTTAAAAAATAGCCTAATTACTCCATGGCTACAGCCTTGAGGGTCGTTCTCCCCTGGGATCAACGTTCCCATATTCTATTTTTCTACCTTAATTGTTCTTCATTCTTCCTTGTCCTTTTCTTTGGTTTTTGTTTGGTGGTATGGGGTTTGATTGAACTCGGGGTCTCACGCTTGCTAGGCAGATGCTCTACCACAGGAGCCACTCCACCAGCCGTGTGATGTGTGTGGTGTGTGTGGAAATAGAGCCTTGCGAGCTATTTTGCCCCTATCCTCCTGATCTCTGCCTTTGGAGTGTTACAAAGACTTAAATAGAGCCACTCCCGGGAAATTATGTGGTCTCACCCATATTTTTTTTTATTACTTCTGGCTTTCCCTTTAACCATAATCTGCAGGTACCAACGGTGGTTTATAAACCTATGGTGTACTTTATGCAATAGTGTTAATTTTCCCATTTGGAGGCTTTCCCCATCTCAAATAATCTTCAAATCATTTAACCTGGGTCTGTTGTCTCACCCGGCACATTCTAGAATTGGCAGCAGTCCCTGGTGCCTTTCCTATTAAATCAAAACTCCATCTAAAATCATTTCTTTCCTGAATCGTAAAATGTCCTTACATATTATGGTGCTGCCACTGTAAGCAAGCCAATATGTTCTCTGCATCCCAGACTTCCTTTGGGTTCTGCTTCCCAGGCCATCTTAGATGTGTGATGTTCCTACCCTCTTAAGAGACTGTGCCCAAACCAATACAAATCAGGTCTCCCTGAGGAATTCTTTACACACTACCTATCCAGATAATATGTTTATTTTCAATTGTTTGTATAGCCATTTTTTCATCATTAAAGAGTGAATACCTGATACATTGGTTCATAAACTCCTATACTAGACTCATTAAACTAAACACTATTCTCAGGGTTTTCCAGTCAACTGGTCAAGACAGGAAATTAGTTACTGATGGTCACACTCTTGAGAACTCACCTCTCTCTTTAAATACCTTTCCTTCCTTCTTGTACATGAAATCTCGTTCATTCCTTCTTTACCAGTATTTCTCTATGATATATTAATATGTATTACTGATTCTGTGCTCAAATAAGTTTGGGAAATACTGCTGTAGCTCTGTACCACATCCTTTCAAAAAATATGAAAAGTAACAATAGGTGTTTCATATAATATATACTGCTTCAGTGTAATTTTTTTCACTTCCTTATTATTATTTTCTGGTGTACTTGGGTTTGAACTGAGCGCGTTTCACTTGCTAGGCAGCAACTCTACCACTTGACCCACACCCACAGATCACGTCTTTAAAGTCGATATTTTAGGTTTATATCTGAAAGTTATATTTGCTTCTCAGGAACTTTGTATTAATTCAAATCTTTTTTGTGTGTGTGGTGGTACTGGGGTTTGAAGTCAGGGCATTATGCTTGGTAGTCAGGCACTCTACCACTTGAGCTCCTCTACCAGTCCAATATTAGTGAATTAATGAATCTTATTATTTTATGTAAATTCAGAAAATTTTATATTATTCCCTCTCACAACATACTTGATTAAAGCCTTTTGGCAGATATTAATTGTACAAGATGATAGGTTCCATTGTGACATTTCATTGCATATAATATACCCACTCTTATCTGCTTCTCCCCCTCTCCACATCCCCTTCTTCTGTCCCCCTACTACTGTCATGTCTTTTTTTCCCTACCTTCCACAAATGAGAGAAAATATGTGATAATTGTTTTTGAGTCTGCTTATTTCACTGAATGATGATCTCCATTTCCAGCTATTTTAGTGCAGATAATATGGACTTGTTCTTTGCAGTCCTGCTGACAAAGCGGGACTTTTGTCATTTTCTGTGTACGTTCAACCACTGACAGGCACCTAGGCTGATTCGATAATGTGGTTGTTGGGAATAATGCCACAATCACCTTGGACATGCAGGTATCTTCATTATATGATAGCTTTGATTCCTTTGGGTATATACCTGTAGCAGTATAGCTGGATCATATAATAGGGCTATTTTTAATTTTTTGAGGAACCGCCATACTGAAAGCCTTTCTATTTAACCTGAACTTACATTTTTAGCCTTCAGAATATGAGATTAAATTATAGGAAAAGTATCAATGGTCTGTCCTTTGACAAGAAACTGAAACCTTCAAAATAATTATTCAGTTCAACATAGGAAATGTTTAATAGACAAAATTAACTTTAATCACAAAAAATGACATTAATACATCAAGATAATAACTTTATTATATTAAAAATACTACAAACCAAAATAGAATTGAGTAGTACACAATTTAAAGGACCTTTTTTTCCTTAAAAGCTGTAGAGCTTTAAAAAGTGTGTATCAAATACATAAGTGAAAAGTTAGATTTATTACTAACATTTCAAAAGACAATATTAGATTTTGTTGCTTGTTATATAAACTTTATAAATATATAAATTCATAGATTGAATCCCAAAGCAAAATGATAAAGTAAACTTAGGATTTTTTGTCCTAGTAAAAGTTTTATCACCCTAAATTCACAACTAGTACTCTTTAGCTGTATGTATATATGGCCAGAATTATTTTAAAATGGCGTGTAATGTTTACTTAATGTCTGTTAATGATTTTTAAATGTGTATGTATTACAATCCCTTGATCACAGCTTCAATAATAGTCCAGCAAAAATTAGCAAAACACAATGTTAAACAGTTCTAACATATTTATCACAATTTATTTATATGGACTTTTAATATGTAAATACTTTATGAATTTGCTCTCAGTAATAAGACTGGTTTATATTATAAATGCTATCAAGAGAAAATAGATCTAAAGTTTTCTTTCTGGATATGATTATCTTACTAATATAAACATTTAAAAGTTAAATGGCTCAATTAGTACATAATGAAACATTATACTTTCATTTTATTTCCTACCAACCAATTCACAGTCATAGCTTAGAATCATTAAAGTTTGCACTTATTAAGGATCTACACATTTATTTCCTTAGAAAATAATGTTGAACCTTCAGAAAATCCTCCTACTACTTATCCAGTAATATCCAAGCACTTATAATGGCAAAAATTAACAGGAACATTGGAGATACAAGTGTACAAAAGAATGAGTATTAAATACATCATGTTCTCCACATTTCTAGGTGAAGATTTTGAGCAATTTAGTGAGGTACTTGTCCACGTTCATTTATTTGCAACTTCTCCAAAATGTCATCAAGTGGATAGTTAAGGCCAATACTATTTGTTTTTACACATTAAAAACATAAGCATACTTTCAAACACTTGAAGATAAAAGAAAACAGTTATGTTCTATCATAAATGAAGAAAAAGAACAAAACTATTTTCTCACCAAAAATCTAATCTAAAATTCAGAAATTCTCTTCTTCAGAGATCATGATAAAATTAGACCACTACAGTGGTTTTAAATATTTTTGCTCATACAAAATTTAATTGGAATGACATCTGCTAATGGGATGAGTGGGGAAACAATGTTTATGAGGGCTTGACTAGTTTAGTTGTTGAATTGTGCCTTTGTCTGCTCTTTGGAAATTCCATTCTTAATGGATTTAGTGTGAGAAACATGCCTTTCTTAGGTATTTAGGAAAATGGCAGTACTGACATGGGAAGTAGGAAAAGTTGTACATTAAGCAAGTGAAGGATTTAGAAATTGATCCCTTTAAGCCTGTATCCTCCTTGAAAGTCTTAGGTTATACCTACCATAGTCTGAATTCCATTCCTCTGAGGTACATAGGACTAGAGCTGTTAACTCGGGCTTTGCTGAGAAAAAGTACTCTTTCTGAGTTAATCCTTTGACCAAAGAACTAACTGTGAGAAAATGAACTCAAACAGTATGGTTTTGCATTTGAAATGTGTTTTTTTACAACTTGCCTAGCCAAAGTGTAGAACCATGTGTATCCAAGATATCACACCCCATCAATCAGCTGATTTGTTCTGTACATATACAGATTCTGAACTGAGAAACCATATTAAGTAGTCCTAGCATAATCACTGTATTTGTTATGTAATAGCTCAATTAGGAGCATATACAGTATGGAAAAGCCCTAGGGAAAGAAATAGTTTTAGCTTTTACGTGTAAACATCAGATAAGTGAAATGGTCTAGTAAGCCATTAAAAAAAGAACTCCAAAATATTTTTACTGCTTATCCTAAAACAACAAATAAAGCACTTGTCTATGGTATGTCCTAAAATGTTTGACTCAGTTATGTTACTTGGAATGGTTTCAAGCAGAAGCAGAAAACCTTTCAAAAAGGATATGTTTGGTGTTCAGTCTCTGGAGATAGGAGCTGACCTTCTCCTGAAATTCCAGTGTCGCTTTACAGCTACAAGAATCTTCAGTGGAAATGAGTTTTCGTGCTTCTTCAATGGCTGAAGACAATGACATTACACAAAACGTTATAGCTACCTAGGAATTATAGCAAATCAGGGGCAGGGCATGTATCTCAGTGATAGAGCACTTGCCTAGCAAGGGAGATCCTAGGTTTAACCCCCAGCATTACAAATAAATAAATAAGCAACAAAAGGTAATCTGCAATTCAACTCAATCTCACCATTTTTAAGACTTAAGACTTACCTAGGTGCATTTTCCAGGAGAGTCAAGGGATATAAAAGCAAACAAAAAGAATGTTAATGTCACAGAAAAATCTGTATTAGGAAAATGTTTGTAATTGTCAAAACTGGGTGATGGTTATATGAGAATGTAGTATATTATTTTCTACACTTATGATTATTAGAAAATATTCAAGTTCGTTGGTGTAAGGGGAGGCCAAGAATACAGAAATAAGACAGTCTTCTTGTGGTATTGTGTCCTCATTAAGATGAAAATGAGAACAACAGTTCTCTATTGACATTAGTTGAAAAGGGAGGAGGACTATGGGAGTGGGAAACCAGTGAGAGGAGAGAACGTGAAAGAGAAGGTGTGAAGGGAATGAATATGATTGAAGAACTTCATATGCATGTATGAAAACAGAATGATGAAACTCATTTAAAATTGCGTAAAGAGGGGTTGAGAAGGATAAGAGGAACAGAGAGGATGAATCTGATCAAAGTATGTTATATGCACATACGGAAATATAATAAAACTCCTATGCACAATTAATATATGCTAATAAAAAGGGAGGAAAAAGACAAAAAAGAGTTCTTTATTTCTATGGCCAAAATAATTCAAAGATTAAAACTAGCTAATTCCTGATTTCCTATCCAGAGCTGCTTGAGAGTTATAGTTTTACCATATATATTTTGGAACTAAAATTAAAAATTTATTTTGACATTTAAACAAATGTGACAGAGTGATAAATAAAACACCTATTATTTTGTGTGTAATTCAGTAAGGCACCTATTCTTATTCAATATCCTAGCTCCTAAAGTTCCTAAAAGAAATGGTAACTCTTAAGTCTGAAGACTGATGTATAATGTTCCAATTGAGTAGAATTATCACCAAAGGACAAGAAATGCTCCAACATTTTCTCTCATATTCTACAGAGATACAAAATAGGGCTAGGGACCCTTAATTCAGTGCAATTTATGTACCTGTCAGAATCTTACTGAACTTTTAGAGACAGATAGTTCAAATATGCTTTTTTTTCTTCTTCTTCTTCTTTTCTTTTTTACAGTGGTAATGGGGGTATTGAATCAGGGCCTCATACTTGCTAGGCAGGTACTATACCAACTTGAGCCACAGCTTATTGATTGAGACGGGGGTCTCGCTAACTTTTTGCCCAGGCTGACCTCAAACCACAATCCTCCCAATCTCCATATCCTGAGTAGCTGGGATTATAGGCATAAGTCTCCATGCCAAGCTCCCAAATACCTTCTTAATCAGCCTTTTAATGAGTTAGTAAGCCAGAAAGTATCTATTGAAAATCAGCTACATCCTAGAATCCCTGTGCAGAGTATTTTATGGGTACTTGCAATACTTACCCAGTGCCTCTCATCTGATAGACACTAAGCTCTATGAGGATATATGCTCAGTAGAGTATTCTTATTAAAACACACTGTAGACAATTGCTAAGCTGGTATACAGCAAAATTGAAAGTTGAGAGATGGACCCATTTACAACACCACCAAAAAGAATACAATGCATAGGAATAATTTTTAAGTCCAAGACTTGTATACTGAAAACTACAAAACATTGTTGAAAGAAATTAAAGAAGATCTAGATAAATGGAAAGTCTCCCATGTTAATGCATTGGAAGATTGTTAAAATTGCAATACTTTGGAAATTGATCTACAGATTCAGTACAATGCCTATTGAAATCTCAATTTCCATGTTTTGAGAAATTGACAAGCCAATCCTAAAATTTATATGAAAATGCAAAAGACTCAGAATAACCAAAGCTACCTTTAAAAAGAATGAAATTAGAAGATTCACATTTCCTAATTTAAAAACTTAACTACAAAGCAATGGTTATCAAGGCAATCTGCTGTTGAAATAAGGAAGATGTGAATTAACAGCATAGAATTGATATTTCAAGAATAAACTCTTACATTTATAGTCTACTGCTTTTCACTAAGGGTACCAAGACAATTTAATAAGGGATAGAATAGTCTTTTTCAACAAATGATGGTGGGATACCTGGGTAGCTACATGAAAAGGATGAAGGACTGGCAGGGTGGCTCAGGAGATAGAGTGCTTGTTTTGCAAGTGCAAAACCCTGAGTTCAAACCCCAGTCCCACCAAAAAAAAAAGGAAAGAATGAAGGTGAGCCCTTACCTCACACCACGTATTAAAAACCAACTCTAAATATAAAAGCTAAACTATAAAACTCTTAGGAGAAACACACATACAAATCTTCATGACTTTGGATTAGACAATGGTTTCTGAGATATAACTTCAAAAGCATAAGGGATAAAAGAATAAACAAATTGGACTTTATCAAAATAAAACCCTTTGTGCTTCAAATGTCCATCAACTAATGGATAAGCAAAATGTAGTATTTCTATGCAACAGACTATTTTCAGCAATATGGAGAAATGAAGCACTGATGTATGATGAATCTTAACAATATCGTGCTAAGTGGAAGAAGTCAACACAAAACACCACAAATTATATGAACCATTTATATGAAACGCAGAATATTAATGTTTGCCAGGGTCATGGTGGTTGATAGGGACTGGGGAGTGGCTAAAATGAGTATAGGTTCCTTTTTAGGATGAAAAAAGTGTTCTAAAATTAGTGGTGATGATTGCATAACTCCATGGTATACTGAAAAAAAAAACACTGAAATACACACATTGTTTTCAAGAGTAAATTTTAGCTGGGGCTGTAGCTCAGTGATAAAGTGTGTACTCAGCATGAAGGATGCCCTGAATTTGATTCCCAGATCCATACACACACAAAAAAAAAGTTAAATGATTGCTGGGCACCAGCAGTGGCTCACACTTGTAATCCTAGCTACTCAGGAGGCAGAGATCAGGAGGCCAGCCCAGGCAAATAGTTCACAAGACCCTATCTCAAAAAAACCCTTCACAAAAAAAGGGCTGGTGGGGTAGCTCAAGGTGTGGCCCTGAGTTCAAACCCCAGAACTGCAAAATAAATAAAGTTAAAAATTAAATTTGGGGGTTAGGCCTGTAGCTCAATGATAGAGCACTTGCCTAGCATGCACAAGGTCTGGGTTCAATCCTCAGCATCACACACAAAAATGTAAAATTCTGTGGTATGTAATTTACAACTCAAAGTTTTTATAAGAAATAAGGAAGGGAAGGAAAGAGGAAAGGAAATAAAAAAGGAAGGGAGGGAGGGAGAAAGAAAGCTAGCCAAAAGATGTAGATACAGATTTAAAAATCATGTATCTAGAAAAAATGAGCCTATTCTTACTCAATTTTCAGATCCTCAATGATACCCTCTTTTTTTCTAAACATGCACAGTATTACTAAATGCCATTTACATAGCATTTTTATGCTCTTACAATGTTCACATTCCACACCCTGCCCCTAGAATTCTTACCTGCAATCTGTCTCCAGTATCTGCCTCAGAACCTAATAGAGTATTACTTATATAATAGTAACTCCATGAATACTTGCTGAAGAAATAAATAAGTGAATGTTAAACAAGTGAAGTGAAGTGACAGCCTCCATACTAGATTCCCTGACTTCCAGGAGGGGAAAAAAGGTCAATATTTAGTTTTCTGAAGATTAACCTCTTCAGCATGTAACAGTATCCAGACTTACTCAAGTTCCAAAAGCAAGCAGAATCTTATTATCCCTGCTCTTGCCAAGAAACTAATCCATATTTTACTTCACAGGAAGAAATACCTGCTGAGCACCTGCCATGTGTTGAAGGCTATGATAAATGCTAAAAATACAAGATCATTGTGCTTGGGGAATCAGGTTTACAATTTGCTGGAATGTGAAAACACAAGTCCAAAACTCAACTCTTTGACTTTTCTCCCTCCAATCTGACCTGCCCTCAGTTTTCTTCAGCTCAGTAAAGATACCACTTTCTCCAGTTGTTTGAGCCTGGAATCTGAAAGACATCCTTAATTCTCCCCTGCCTTATCCCCCAAGTCCATTTATAGCCCAGCATTGTTCATTCTATCCCACAATGTATCCTGGATCAGTTTACTTCCATCACCATTGTCTTCACCCAAAAGTAGTCTCCCTCATCCATACTTCAATCCTCTCCAACTTCTTCAGAGAGCAGCTGGAGGGATTTCTAAAGACTTAAGCAGCATCATGTCACTCCACTACCTTTACCCTTTGATGGCTTCCCATTGCCCTTAGAATGAAATACGAACTCCTTACCCCATGGGCCCAGACAGTAAGCATGATTTATCCCTGCCTAACTCTCCATCTTATGCCACATTTCCTTTCCCCTGACTGCTCATGATGCCATCACAGTGGCTGCCTTTCATTTCCTCTCCCCCTCTAAGCCACATACAGGACTTGGAATTGCTCTCCTTTCTTCTTTCCCCACAGTCCAAACTCAACCTAACCACTGCTTCTCCTCAACTCCCAGATGTCATTTCCTCAGAGACCCTCCCAACCTCAAGTCTATTCCCTTAGTCCCCATTCTCAGCACCCTGCTCTTTCCTAGCATTGCTCTAATTGAATTGGTACATTTGTTACCACCTGAAAATGTGAATGAGGAAAGTAGACTACAGCACAGGATAGAAATAGGCAAATGCAGGATAGGCTCCTAAAATAGCATATAGCCCACTGTGGCTGGACCACAAAACTAAAGAGAAGGAATTAATCTGGGCCAAATGTAGTAGAAAATAAGTTTTAAAAGACAAGATGAAATAGAACAATGGGCAGTTAGTTTTCATGAGTACAGAGTTTTTGGATGATGGAAATGTTCTAGAGATGGATGTTGATGATGGTTGAGTAACAATGTGAATGAACTGAATGCCACTGAACTGTATACTTAAGATGGTTAGAATAGTAAATTTCATGTAATGTATATTACTACAATAAGAATAATCCAGACATAGATAGAAACATTAATTAGAAAGAAAAAGAGATGGGATCAGATCTTAGAAGGTAGACTGTCCGACGGAGGATAATTGTTTTACTCTGTAGACATCTGGAAGCCACTAGAAGGATCATAAATGGACATGACTAAAAAGCAGCTTCCTCCTAGATTTCCCTACCAAACAAAGTGTGCTCCAAGGAGCAGTCTTCACCTTTACATGTTCTCTTGTCTTCATTCAAGGTGTAACCAGGAAAACAATCGCAGTGGAAGGACGTTTTCCCATCACTCACGCAAATTTGTTGGCATCCATGAGGGCCCAGAGCACAGTTGCTACGAACTAACCAGGAACCATGAAAGAAAGAAAAAAAATTGCACAGTAATTAAATAGAAAACTAAACACAGACTTCTGTGAGATGAAGAGCTTTGTTTTGGCCCCAGCCAGTACTAAAAATGAACCCTTCAGTAGCCAGCCACAAGCCCCTGTCTCAGAAGAAAGTCTATTTTCCTTCTCTATGATGCACATTTCTTGGCCTTACCTTTATCACAGCCATTTTCTCTCCTAAAGCTGTCTAAAAAAGGGCACCTTCTCTTTTCTCTTACTCACAGCCTTGAGCTTACCTTGGACCTTTCTGATGATAATCATCATATCCAATTTCTCCAACTGTTCATGGATTATGACCAAAAATAATTAGCAACCCCATTGTATATGTAGCTAAGTTTGATGCTGTGTGAAAAGGACTAAGTTGACTAAGGACTTGACCTTGACAGTTTATTAAGTAGGACAGAAAACACTGACCTGGAGACACACATAGATAGATAGATAGATAGACAGATAGACAGAAAAGTAATGTTAACAAGAATAAAAATGATGTATATGATATAATTGGATAACAAAGTACTAATTATCTGTCAAGTAAATAACATTCCAAGGATGAAAACAGGTTGCCCAAATTTAAGCAGAGAGCAAAGAAAAATGCCATGCCAGTACCATGTCTAAGCTAGCCCAGAACAAACAAAAATATCAATTCTCCTTTAGTAAACCCAGAAAGACTTCCTGGGGGACATAGGTTCTTCCTCTACCACTGCAGTAGCCAAAGTAGTAGATTTGTTACCTTCTAACTCTCCTCTTAAATGTTGTTTCATGCTCAAAAACCTTCCATGGCTCACTTTTTCCTAGACAACAGCTTTGCACAAAATGCAAGGCCTCATATAATCTACCCATAAAGCACCTTTCCAGTTTTAACATGGATAGTACCCTTTATCGCTATAATTTAGCAAAATGCCTAATAGGAAAGTATTTCATTTCTACTATTAGTGCAATAGGACCTGCATTCAGTCCTGGCCCTGATGTGGCGCTCCACATCTAATTTAAGGCAGAAACCACCCAGCAAGGAGAAAGTTAGCCAATGAAGTGATATAACTGTTGTAGGGACCAAGATTTAGAATAGTACTTATTCACTATTGTTTTAAAATATATACATACTGACTTTCCCAACATTCTTTCTCCTCCAGCGCTGTTTTCTATTCAGTGCCTTGTGCACTAAGACAGTACAGCTTAGTGGTTAAAAGCAGATGTAACCACGGGAGCAAGGGCCTAGATTCAAACCCTGACCCTGAAACTTACCAGCTGTGTTACATGGGCAAATAATTCAATCTGTCTGTGCCTCAGTTTCCTCCTAAAGTTACTGTGAGGATTAAAAGTATTATTCTAAGTATTAAATGCTTAGAACCATGTGACCCATGGTAGGTACTGAAGAATGCTGGCTACAGTTATCTGGGAGTATTGCCTGGAGTTGTCTGACTTAAAAAATGTCTTAAGTGGGGCAGGAAGAAAGATGGTGGGGGCAATCTAACCAAGATACAACGTAAAGCTATTTGGAATTGTCACAATGAATCCCCCGTACAAGGAATATACCCTAATAAAAATGGGGAAAAAAGAAATTTTTCTTTGATATTTGATTTTTTTAAATAAACTGTTTTGCCTTTATTCCCTAATATTTGTTAGTTGAATTGGAAATGTCTCTTGTTTCATTTTTCCAGGTCCTCCATGTTCCTGACAGCTGAAAGTACCACCTGGGATATTCCTCAACCAGGTGGAGGAGTACAGCCAGCACATAAATCCTCTCCACCCAACTCAGTCCTACTGCCCTAAACAAACCTGCACCAGCCAGGCCCCAGCCTACCCTTCAAAGCCCTACTCTACTTCCTCAGTTTCTTCTGATCTTTTCCAACTTCATCAGTCTGCACAGCCCTTAGCCACCATCAGTGCCCCTCCTTGGCTATTTGTCTCTTTTTAGAAGAAGTTGGTTCTTTTTACTCAGGCTATAAATTACTATGAGGTAGAAACTTAGACCACAGTCTCACAGTGTTTAATCGGTCCTAGGAACAAAGAAGGGACTCAATGTTATTGCACTGATTTTTGACAGTCTCACTATTTAACTCAGGCTGCCCTCCAACTCACTTTGTAGCCCAGACTTGCCTCAGCCTCTCAAGTGCTGTGATTACAGGCATGTTTCACCATGCCCAGCCTGATTTCATTTTTTAAGAGGGTAATTGGTGATATACCATTTCCCTTCATCTATCTATCTTGACAAGATCCCATAACACAGCTCCTCAAGAGAGAGAAAAAGACATGGAAAATCTAAGAAACATTCAAGGTGCCAAAACGAAGTACCACCTCGAGAGCTAGAATTTCTCTCTTTTAGGAGTGCTTTTAGATGTATAAATGCCACCCTGTTCTGCTAGTGACTCTAAATCAAATTAATGAGGATTAGCAGTCCTGGCAGAAGCTCATTAACCAAGTCATAAGGTTAGAAGATTGATCAGCTAGAAACTGTCAGGGAATGTCCTGCTTCAAACTTACTGGAAGATCTGTGTGGGTCTAATTCAGGCATTTACAAAGTCTCCTTCACTGAAACCACTCAGCTTTAAGATTAACACTACAGAAAAGTTTCAGGCCAAGTTTTAACTGGAAAAAGATCAGTTCAGACTATCACACCAAGTAGTTACTGTCCTGCTGACTTCCTCTAAAGTCTCCTATTTGCTTAAATAAAAAGTCCCCAGTGTACAAGGCTATAAAATTTTCCTGGATAAGGATCCTATATTTAATTAGCTTTTCTCAAACCCCCACTCCCTACTCATTTCCCAGTAATTTTCTGAAGTGATCTATGTTTGCAAAAGCCAGTGAGCTCACCATCCTCTGAGCAATGCGTGCCTTAGTGTTTAAGTGTAAAACATCTGAATCTTTAAGTTACCTCAAAGAACCTCTCCTGGTGAATTTCAAGTTCATTTCACTCCCATAGAAAGAGTCAAGTAGGAGAATTTGTTGCATAGACCTTACCTGAACATGTTTTCTTATCTGCATTCCGAGTGTAACCTTCAAAGCATTCACAATGATGGGACCCATTTGTGTTATCCACACAAATGTGCTGACAGCCATGTGTACCCAAGGCACATTTGCCTTTAGCTGGCAAATGAAAGTCCAGGAGAAAAAAAAAAGTGAAAAAGTCTTTTTTTTAGCCATACATATAAACCTTCTTATTTGCAGCTAGAAATAAGAGGAAAATTTAGTGTAAAATAAAGCTGTCAGCATTATTTGTTCTAACTAGAAGTTAGCTGAGTTAAATAAAAATCCTTCACACACAATAATTATTCTCCAACCTTCCTTAATTCCTTTCCAAAATCATCAATATTTAGTTTTTAATAATCTAAGCATAAATATGTAAGCATTCCTTTTAGGTTTATTGTGCTTATCCCAACTCAGAGAGATAAGTGATGCAGCTAATTACACTAGATCTGGAAAACATAGAGTTAGAATTTGAAGAAACTATAATCCAACCCTTTCTTGTTTCCTAAATGAGGAAAATCAAATTTAGGGCAGTATCAGAATTCAAGGTGCAAATTGTCACTTAAGGCACTAACTATCCTCTGTTCTGACATATTTTAAACTATTCTTTTTTGTTTACAAACTTTTTATTTTGAGATAACTTTAGACTTGTGAAAAGCTTGCAAAAACAGTGCAGATTTGCATTTCACCATATGGTAACAACTTACATGACTCTAGTATGATTACCAAAAACACTGATACAATACTGTTTACTAGTCTACACACTTTATTCAAATCTTGCCAACTGTTCTACCATTGTCCTTTTTTGCTCCAGGATCCCACATTGTATTAAGCTGCCATATCGTCTTAGTCTCTTCCCATTTGGGACATTTCCTCAGTCTGTCTTTGTCTTTCGTGACTTGAACATTTTGAAAAGTAGTGGAAAATCATTTTGTGAACTAGGGCTATTTGGGTTTATGTGATACTCCTCATGATTCTGAATTCTCAGCAAGAATACCACAGCCATGCTATCATGTCCTCAGTGAGTCATGTTAGGTGATACATGATGTCACTGTATTCGTTTCTGATGGTGTTAACTTTGGTCTCTTTGATCATATGGCTAAGGCAGTGTCACCAGGTTTCCACTACAAAGTTACTGTTTCTCTTTGCAAGCAGTACAGACCTTTGTGAAGTGCTCTTTGTAGTTAAGCTACTAAATTATCTGTAGCATTTGGAAGGATTGTGAAGGCTGGGAACAGAGGAAATGAGACACTTGTTTACACATACGATACGTACATGTTACCATTTCTAACTTTTCAGATAAAATTTTGAAATGGGAAAACCAGAGGGTGGCAAGAGAGGAAGACAGACCATATAACCATCCCCCATGGCCTATCTTCCAATACTGGGCAGCTTGGTGGGTGGTAAAGCAACGATACAGATTCCTACCCACTTACCTGAACAAGTTTTCCTGTCTGCATTCAGAATATAACCTCCGTAGCACTCGCAGCGATAAGAGCCAGTTCTTTCATTCACACAGGCTTGTTCACATCCGTGATTGATAACAGCACACTTACCAATAGCTATCAAAAGATGAGCACCACAGATGTGAGCACATGGAAAGTAGGTGATAATTAAATCATTATATCCTTATTAAATACATACACACTATACAGAGCTAAGGGCACTGACAGTTTGGAACTGACTTTCTGGTCTGGGCTCTTTTGCTAACAGATCCTTTGAAGTGGGTGAGTCTCTTCCTGTCTTTGCATCTCAATTTCATTATCTATAAAATGAGTAAGTTGAATTAAATGATCTCTGTGTTTTCTTCCTCCCAAAAACGCTTTTCTAGGATTAAAAAAAAAAGAGACTAATTCCCAGTCTTTGTTGACCCTATGTGAGGATTCATGGAACAATAAGCAAGGACCTCTCTAAATTTCTCTCTACTTCTAAGGACCATGAGCATGTACACTCACAGAAAGGAAGGGATGCTTTTGTCCAATTAAACCCAGGAAAAATGCCACATCCTCAAAAGAATGAAGAATCTTGGATCCCTTCCTTTCTCACCTCTTCTACTAACCCTTTTCTTTAAGAATAGTAATATGGCCTGTGATAGGTGATTTGTTATCTCACTTTTCTCTCATGTTCCTTTCAAGGAAAATTGTTGATTAACAACAGTACGCCAGCCAAAAGGCAGTTAGGTGAAAAGACGTCAGAGTCAAAGTATATAAGCCAGCTCCACTCCTAGAGAAAAGGCCCCCAAACAACCCCTAGCCACTCAAGGTCCCCCGAACAGGCCGCACCTAAACACGTTTTGTTGTCAGCATACAAGAAATATCCTTGGCTACACTCACAGTGGTACTTTCCATCCCCATCACTGATGCACACATGCTGACACTGGTGTGTGCCACGCAGACACGGGTCCAGAGCTGTGTCTGGAAGAAAGCATACAGCAGTCAGTATCTATGCATAAGAAACATTTCAGATATTTTTTTCCCAGTCAGAGAGACACTGCTCTCCAGGTTCCTTTCTTCACTCTGTCTTTGCTTCACTATAAAAATTGACTATTTGTTTTCTATATCTGGTTTATTAGCTATGCTACACTTATATTAGAAATGTTACTCATTTAAAAGTACAGATCTTGCTATATACTTTCTCAAAGGAGAAGTGGAATTTTGAATTTGTAGCTGCTGAAGCCAAACCCTCCCATCAGTCAGGTAACTTCAGGTCCCATGGAGAAGGATTTTTCTTCCCAACAACAAGAAATGGAGAGAACAATGCACTGCCTAAAGTGCAGTGAGCCAGTTGTCCTCATGTAGCCAGAACACAGTTTCCAAGGATTTTATATTTTGTGCCTAAACAGAATTCACACACAAGCATACCTCTTGGCCTGGAACTCACTCACACTTGGGTGGCAATATGTATTTTGAACATGCAAATGGTGGAAGGCAATCTAGGAAACAACCTTCTGCCTATGTGGAAGGTATACCCATGTATCTGAGTATGCAACTTGTGGTGCTAATATCTACAAGGACAAGGAACTCATATTCTAAATACAAAGAGGTAAAATGAAAGGAAGATCAAAATAAATGTGATTACATCGGCTAAACCGTGCCTCCATCTTTTTGCTCCTAGAGCCATTTATACCTCATTGGATTTTTTTCACTAGCAACATGTTTTGAAAGAAGAATCAATGAATTTAGTCATTTCAGAAAAAAACAGTAGGCCTGTTGGAGGCAGGAGGCTGGCACTCTTGTGGCAGGTAACCCAGCCTCCATTGCCCTTGGCAACAGGACAAGGCTAATATTTCCCCAAAAATGCCGTTCTCAAGGAATGATCGTTCTAATCCGTAGACTACAAGCAGTCCCTCAGTCTCTTTTCCATAGAGAGAACATTTTCCCCCCAGAACAAGCAGGTCTTTTGTACAAGATGGAAAAGATTGCCACTCACCAGTTGTTACTTTATGGCCTTCAACCGCCCCCCACCCAGGTGCTAGTTTTGAGACCCAACTTTGCCACAGACTCAAGTCCTGATGGAACAACTCTTACCCACAAGCTTTGAGGGGGTTCTCTGAGAAAAAGAAAGCCACTTTCTTTTTGAAACCCAATAAATTCCAAGTAGATGCCACCAAAGCCAGTGATGTTTTGTGAAGGTCCAGTGTCCCAGGACAAGAAAGACAAGGAGATCTCAGCTAGACCTGGCTGAGATGAAGCCAAGCTTTGCCCCAGACCAAACTTTTGTCTCCCATTTCCCAACCAGCTGGTGATTGCTGGGTTTCACATTAAATATGAATGTGATGAACATAAATGGATACTAAATATAGTAATTTATTAATATATTGATTATATTTTATATACTTAATATAACCAAAGTATGTTAATATAATGATGATTAATATATTATTTATATTGAGTATAAATATAAATGGATACAATGTCTCCTTGAAATGTACAATTGGAGTGACTGGCTTACTTGCTTTTCTCATCCCCACCACCAAAATGTTGCTTGATGGTTGGGAGAAACTACTTTAACCTTTGTGTAATCAGTGATCAAAAAATGCATGCTGACTAAACAAATGTGGAATAAATCATACATCAAAAAGGTATCTGTGTTTAGAAATTCACCTAAACTAGGGCTGGGAATGGTGACATGCATCTACCATCTCAGCTACTCCAAAAGTGTAGGTAGGAGGATAGAGGTTCCAGACTACCCTAAGCAATAACTAAATGCAAGTCCCTATCAGAAAAATAACTAAACACACACACAAAAAAAAAAACAAGGCTGGGAGCATGGCTCAAGTAGTAGAGTACCTGCCTAGCAAGCACAAAGCCTGAGTTCAAACCCTAATATCAACAAAAAGAAAAGAAAGGAAATTTGTCTATACTTGCTTGGATAATTCCATAAAGGACTCCAAAAGATAACTCCAAATAATAAATAGTAAAACATGAGTCATACAAGTCAGTGAAAAAACTTAAACCTCAGCACTGAATAGATTTGTATTGATACATCTGGTTAATACATGCTAAAAATTCCCAGGAAATTAGCATATTCATGCTCACACTCCATCCTAAAGGAAGACAGGAGTAGCAGGAGAGTAACAATGACTTTTTTCAAATCTGCTTCTTGTGTCTCTCAAATGAACCAAACCCCAATCTTTCTGAATAGTTAGAGAAAGAGCTGAATCTGAAAATGAGTGCTCACTAAATGCACACTGACCATGACATTGGAATATAGCCTTCGCTCCTCCCACAGTCTTCTGCAAGAGAACAAGCAGAATCCTGTTAAATCTAAGATGGTAAAGCTAAAGAAAATATCTGAAGGAAAAAATGTGGTGGAGGGAAAAGGAGACAAGAGAAAGAGGTGTCTTGAGTCTTGGTGTTTTCTTTTTTTTTTTTTTTGACCCCCCATCAGGGAACAGCAGGATTATTTATTTGGGCATTTCCAGACCTTCACATTTCTAATGCAAACATGAAGGTTTTATGAGCAAACCAAGTGCCATATAATGCAGCTTTTTATTCTACACCAACACCGTGTATTTAAATTGGTAAAAGACACCAAAAAAGCACTGCATGTATTTAAGTTTTCCATAAAATTTCCACCCAAAAAAATGAATAAATGCCTTTTTCTGGGTACAGAATGTCTGAAATATTATATCCTTTCTAGGTGGAAGCAAAGACTTACCAACTTACCACAAAAAGTTTCCTGGAATCTAGAGGAAAGTTTCTCAATGACCCCATAGGTCTCCACGTAGAACACATGCTCATCCAGGGGCTCACTGGCCATCATCTTGAGGGACTCCATGTCTGCCCGGTCCACCCCCACAGCATAGAGCTCAATGCCAGATGCCCGGGCCCGGGCTACCACCTCATTCACCTGGTCCTGGGGCCTCCCATCTGTCACGATGATGGCTACCTTAGAGATGTTGGAGGTGGGCCCCCGAGCTCCTGCCTCCTCTGTGAAGGCCTCATCCATCGCTGTCTGGATGGCCAAACCAGACATGGTGCCTGTTGACAAGGGTTTGATCCGCAGCACGGCCTGTTTTAGAGACTCCTTATCAGAGTAGGTCTGGAGCTGGAACTCGATCTTCACCGTGCTAGCATAATTCACCAATGCTACCCTTGTGTGAGCTTTCCCAATGTCCAGAGTGTCAATGACCCGGGAGACAAAGGTTTTCACTTTGGTGAATTCCAGTGGCCGTACACTACGAGAACTATCGATGATAAACACCAGGTCCAAAGGCCTGCTCTTGCAAACACCTGTCAAGAAGGGTATGGACAGGAGACAACACCAAGCAATAATCAGACTACAACCAGAAATGGGACAATCTTTACTCCCAGAAAACTCTGGGATTACAGGCCAGACTGGGTGGCAGCAGCCCTTAACTCCAATATCCCTATTACCTGCTTCCTTCCCCAAGCCCATCCTCCAATTAGGTGTTGAATTCCCCGAGTGAGAATTCACAAAGAAGTGTGAAGCTTCCCCCAAATACCTTAATTACAGTTTGGCTGAGTCCCAAATTTTGCCTAGATCCACATTCTGCCGCTAAAGATTTTGTTCCAAGGTTCCTTGTAAGAGTCCTAGGACAGAATGGATCTCAGACCTTTCTTCTGCACCTTGGCTATCTGTGGCAATGGATAGCCAATGGGTGATAATTTAATCTGACACATGTCTATTGCACTTCTAACTCTTATCAGCATCTTTAATCATTTTATGAAGCAGACAATGATGTCTGGCCTGCTACCCCATCAAAACTCAGTCACTTTCTTTTACTCATTCACCAGGTTTTTGGTTTTTTTTTTTTTTTTTGAGGGCCTGCATGTGTAAAGCCATGAGGTCATAGATTCCCCATCTTCAAAGTATTTACATATTTCTGTACAAAAGTACATGACACATTGCAGTAACACTATACATTTTAGTTTCCTTTCTCCTTTCCTAGTCTTAACCTGTTTTCTTCAACCCCAGTTGCACACCCCCTTTCTTAGCCACCAAAATCAGGTTCACAGTCAGGATTAAATTTTAAGCACCAGTTATTACACCTGTTTCTTTAAGTCATTCCCCTTTTTGACCAACAAACACACACATGCACACATGCATCATGGGTACCCAGCCCTAAGTGGAAATGAGGCCCCTAAGCAATGTCAATCAAGCTTCTTTCCTTTCCTAATAAAAGAACAGACGTTGATGTTACTAAGAGAAGGCAATTTGCTCAGTGAGTATAAGAAAAAAGGTAAATTCAAAATAAATTCTTAGGCAAAGCTATTTATGAAGAAAAAGTCTTGTCTGGAACAGGGATTATGCCTCTACACGGTTGTCTTTTAACAGCTGAACTCTATCCTCTGTCCTCTTGGTTTTAACCTACTGGAGGTATTCACTTAGAAAAGGAACATCTTACCGAAGGGAATCACAGGACACCAACCCACGGATTGTGTGAAGGGGTGCAAAGGCTGGTTTTACCCCCATCTGACAGGTGAGACACCTGAAGCTCAGGGAAGAGAAAGAACTAGAAAGTAGGGAGCATGATTGGACTCCAGAGTTTCTGACCCCCAGTGCCAGAGCCTTCCCACTGCACCATGGCTGCTTCCTTTAAGACAACATTTTCTACCTCACCCCCAAATCAACATTATCTCATGTGCCCAGTAAATGTGCTGCATGTTGACTTGGAGCCAACACTCTGAAATATGCCAGAATTTCACTGCATCTCTTGAGAATCCCATGCAACTGGGGCAAGGAAGAAGAGCTATGACAAAAATCCTGCCTGGACATGAATCTATGTATTTTTGCATGATTGGAGTAAAAAGGGAAAAAATGATGATGTTTATCACAGCACTATTTGACAATAGCCAAGTGATAGAATCAGCCTGAGTGCTTATCAATAGAGAACAGATAAAGAAAATGTCGTATATATACACAATGGAATATTATTCAGCCATAAAGAAGAATGAAATCATGTCATTTGAATGGAACTGGAGATCATCGTGTTAAGCGAGATAAGCTGAGCTCAAAAAGCCAAACATTGCACGTTTTCACTCATATGTGGAATCTAGACTGAAATAATCATAATAGTAAAAACAGCAACAATGGGACATGAGTACTTAGGGGACAGTGAGGGGAAAGGAGAGCATAATAGGGAGGTGAAGATCCAGGTATGTTACATATTTATGTATATGAAGATAGCAAAACAAAACCCACCAAATACTGTTTTGAAAAGAGGAGAAGGAGGGAAAATAATAGAAGAGGTGAACTTGCTCAAAATTCACTGTGTACATCCATGGAATTAAGACAATGAAACCTTCTTATACAATTAATGTATGCTAATATAAAAGAGAAATCATAATAGCAAATAGGCAAAAAAATTAAAAAATCATAAGAACCCTCTAATGTTCCATGTTTTCACTACACTCATGTGGCGTCCTTACACATCATAGCTATGTTCTTATACCTGAACGTGTCTGATTCCATCCTTCTCCACCTGGCTTTCACACTGAATCCTCTGTTCAGGATTCAGTGGAAGGGGGTACAGTGGGTGTGGTAAGGAGAATAATTGCCCCTCTTGCAAGATGTCCCATCCTAATCCCAGGAACCAGTACATAAGCTACTTTGCATGGCAAGATCAACTTTGCAGGTGTGGTTTAAGACCTTGAGATGGGGAGGTTGTCCTGGATGACCTGGATGGGTCCAAAATAATTTCAAAGGCCCTTAAAAGGGGAAAAGAGCAGCAGAAGAAGGGCCCAAGTGTTAAGACATGGCTTTGAAGAGGGAGAAGAAGGCAGGTGCTGAGGAATGGGGCATCCTGTAAGAAGCTGGAGAAAGGTAGGCAAATACTTCTCCCCTAGAACCTCCCAAAGGGACACCTTGATATCAGCCCAGAGTCAACCTCCGACCTACAGAACTGTAAGATAATAATGTGTGTTGTTTTAAGCTAAGAAATCCATGGTCACTTGTTACAGCAGCAATAGGAAACTAATATCAGAGTCTTGACTAGGGTGACAGGCAAGTCTGTGACTATCTGGTTCCTTCCTGATTTGTAGCCCTTTAGTGGACAGCTCTGTTTTTGAATCTCATTCTTATTGACTAAATAGCAGCAATTTGTGATTGTCAAGAACAAGAATGTGAGCATCTGAATCTCCATACATAAAATATCACAAATTTTAAAGTCTTTCTAGAAATAAAAGCTCATAGCAAAACTTAGGTCTCTTGTTGCTGAAAAGAGAATTTGAAGGTGTAGAATGTGGTGTTTATGAAGGGATCATCATTCAAGATCAGGTTTGGATTCTAGGTAGCAAAAGACCCATACATCTTAGAAGGAATGCAGTCACCCATGAGGAGTCTCCCCGATCTCCCCATCCCATCCCTGAGGTAGCTGTGTGAGGACTAGAACTAAGTTCACTACAAGAAAAAAGGCTTTTCCCCCATTTGTGGCCAGCAATTGAACTTAACTCTTGTGAACCCTGGCCCTTCTTTGCCTAGGTGGCAACACTTTCACCATTCCAAATTTGCCATTTCAAATAATGGGGTGATTCAGGAAAGAGTCTCTTGAGCGCCCCCAACATGTTCAGAAAGGTGCAGGAGTGGGTAGACAACACAAAGCACCCTGATGCAGAGCGTCACAGGCCTAGAAAATGCAGTCTCTCTCAAGCGAGACTGAGGCTGGACTTTTTGGCAATGAAAATAAAATCTTACATAAATCATATGGAGCTTGGTAGGTTTGAGCCGTGGAAAGAGCTCTTGTTGGGGCTCAGAGCTCTGGGTTCTGTTCTGGGCTCTGACCCTTGGATTGATGGGTCCCTTCTTATCCTTCACAGGGATAAGCCTGGGGTTCCCTGAATGTACTGCCAGGGGTCATAAGGTGACCTGCCACCTATGCAGCCCTAGGAGCTTTGCTCTTCTGCAGGAACAGACCAAAAGCAGAAATAGAATGGTTGTCCAAAGACTCAAAGTGTCTTGTGTCTTTGGAGAGCTAAAAGAGCAGAGGTTGGTGTGTAGGACCCCATCAGTTCAAGCAGACCACCAAGTCAAGGGCAGAACAGGGCTGACACCAAGATGGCTCCAGGACAACTCCTAGCCACCTAGGTGGCACTGAGGTTTCCTTTCACACCTACCAGAGACCTTCCCTTCTGCCGAATCCTGGGTTCCACTGAGGCAGCTTGGGACCAGTAGGAGGAGAGAAAGACTCACACTGACCTCAGGAGAGATGGAGGAATGTCAAGAAAACTAAAAGCTGAATCTCATGAGGTGTTTGTTAAGCTGAACCAAGAGATCAGGACAAGGACAGGGACAGGACTCAGCCTTGGGGCTCCTACAGGTGCCACCGAAGCCTCCTTACCCGCAACACGGGGGACTTTGAGCTTCAGGAAACCCAAATTCTAGCCAGGACATGAGTGACCTCGGGTGTTTCCTTTCCTTTCTCCGGCCTCAGTTTCCATCACGCACGATTCTGAAGCAACACTGGGCGGATGCCCGCAGCTTCCCCTCCTCCTTCGATACCCGGCTGCCCTTGCCGCCCCACTTCTTGCCACCCCCAGCCCATGCTCCTACTCCCCTGTCCTGCACTGCTGCCCCGCGCGGGTCCCTCTCGGGCTGGGCGCCCCGCACCACGATACCTGCGCGGGGCTCGCTGGCCCCGGAACGGGGCGCGATGGTGGGAGCCGCGGGAGCGGGGCGGCGCCCGGGGCTGCCCGCAGGGCCACGGGTCCCCAACCTCCGGACACCAGGATTGTCCAAGGGGCCCGGGGCGGTGGGGGGCGGCAGCATCAGCAGCGACCAGATTAGCAGGAGGAGTCCCGGGAGGTGGCGCGCAGAGGCCAGGCGCGACATGGTGGGCTCGGGAACCTGCTGAGGTCTCTCGGCCGGGGCCGCGCACAAGAGGCGAATTTAAAGGTCCCGCATCTGTGGCCCCGCCCTGCCCCGCCCTGTCCCCAGGCCGCTAGCGCCAGGCCCTCCCGCCACCCGCTCAAAGCCAACAAGGAGCCCAGTCTGTGCATTCCAGTGGCAGCAGCGGAATGTCTGGGGCCAGGCGGCCAGCGGCGCGGTGGTCACCGCGGGCCCCGGCCCTGCACCGCCAGCAGCCCGCGGCTGGGCGCCTCCTGACCTCCTGGTAAAACCCGGGGTGGAGGCACCTAAGCAGGGCCACAGCCTGCTGACCCCCTCCACTTTCCCTCTTAGCCCAGGAAGGCCTGTGCCCTGGGGTCCTAGCCGAGGAGCCCCTGGGCTCTGCCTGCCGTGTACCAGGTATGCCTGCTTGCGGATTCAGAGCAAGATGAAATCTTGCTTTGCACATTGCGTACGGTTCCCCAGCCAACAGTTAAGGGGGTGGGAGGAACCGCACAGATTCTAGCAGCATGAATGGAAAACTTTCACCCTACCTTCAAACATCCATAAACTTTTGATTTTTATATTACCAGGAATAGAAAATCAAACATACGTTGCTCCAGAGAGCCCCCTGATTGCTGGAAGAACAGCCTGTACCTACACTCCAGAAGGCAATCCCTGTATCCCATTTCCTCCCCAGAAGAGTGACTGGCAGCCTGGACTAGAGACCTCCCAGAGGACCCTCAGGGAACTCACAGAGAAAATATGCATCAACCGTGTATGTGTCTAAGGGAACATGGTGGGTTTAGAAAAGAGAGGCCTGGAAAACCAGGAAGACTTATAAAACCAGAGGATGTGTGAGCTGGGTCTCCAAACATAACCATGTTCAACAGGTCCAATCCCATCTTCTGCTTCCACTATTGCCTTCTGCAGTCCATCCATAGAGTGGCCTGAAATCACTTCTCATATTTGTATGCCATGTTTCTAGTGGATTATGCACAATAGCCAAGAAGTAGAAGCAACTCAGTGTCCCTCTTTGGGTGCATGGAGAAGCAAAATGTGGTAACTACATACAGCAGAATATTATTTGATCTTCAAAAACAAATTCTAATATGTTACAATATGGATGAACCTTGAGGACATGATGGTAAGTGATGTAAACCAGCCACAAAAAGACAAACACCATATGATTCTGTTTACATGAGGTATCTAGAATAGTCAAATTCATGGAGACAGAAAGTAGAATGGTGGTTCCCAGGGAGTGGAGGGACGTAGGAATTGGGAGTTATTGCCTAGTGGGTATAGAGGTTTAGTTTAGCAAGATCAAAAAGTTGTGGGAAGAGACTGGTTCCATAATAATCTGAGTATACTGCTATGGTTTGTGCCTTTTCTTCCCCGCAACACAGAGTTCAAGAGCTGGAAGCTTAATTCCCAAAGCTGGTGGTATGCTCAGGTGGAGACTTTGGGAGGTAATGAGGGTTAGAAAGTTCATGACAGCAAAGTCCTCCCAATGGCATTAATGGCTTTATAAGAAAAGGAAATGCTGGGCACCGGTGGCTCATGTCTGTAATCCTAGCTACTTGGGAAGCTGAGATTGGGAGGATCATGATTTGAGGCCAGCCTAGGCAAATAGTGTGAGATGCCCATCTCTAAAATAACCAGATCAAAAGGGACTGGTGGTATGACTCAAGAGGTAGAGCTCCTACTTTCAAGTGTGAAGCAAAAGAAAGAAAAGGAAGAGAGATCCAAGGGAGCACGTTTGTTGTGCCTCACCATGTGAGCCACCTGACCTCACCATGTGAACCACCTGAGTGTAGGCACCAGAAGTTCAAAGACCATGTCCACATTGTTCACTGCCCAGTTCCCAGAAAGTCTCCCTTACCACAAGCAGGCACGAGTCACAAGAGGACTGAGATGTCAGGAAATGGAAGCCTCTAGAACAGGGTGCAGATTCTTGCCTTGGCAGGGTGGTCACCAGATTATTTGTAGAAGATACAGCCTGGCACTGCTTTTTCCAAGAGTCCGGCACTGCTGAGGAAAAGGCTTTGCTCCGTTTCACTTCACTGACAGACAACAGGCGGCTCTGTGCTGGGCATTGGCTCCACACAGCAGACTTTCCTTGGCCTTCTCTAGTAGGGAGTTGGGTCATTGGCCACCACCAGGCTTCTTCTGGGAAAGGAGCTCAGTCTAGAAGTGGCTTTGGGAGTAGTGGTTTGGTTCATGTAGAGAACATAGAAGTCTTACTTAACAAACTGCAAAGATTGTCTGTACTTTGGGTATATTGCAGTTTAGAATCAGTGAGCTACCAGACCTCTGAACTATAGATAAACATCTGCTGCCAACACCAGGACACCATCTACATGGACAGGACTGATAAGGCATGCAGCCCAATATGCCATCCAATATGGCTACACTCATGCTAAAACATGATGACGTCTAGAACAACATACCAAGGACCCCCACCTTTGGGTATAACCAATCAGCAGAAAACTAAATGACATAAGAGGCGAACACCCTGGAGGAGAAAGACATATAAATAGAGCACCTGCTGAGGACCCAGCAGAGTGCGCTGTCCAGTGTCCTCCGATGCTCACGAGCAAGGTACGCTAGCATCAAGGGACTCTCCCATATGCACCTCTCCTTGCCAGAGGATCTCTCTCTCCCCAGTAAGAAAGGTCCTGCCCCGTAGTAGCTCTCCCTCCCAAGCAGACTGAGTTCCCTGCACTCTCAGCCCAAACAAACTGACTGCTTAGTGGGGCTCCCCTGTGAACCACAGCCTTACAGGGCTGTGATGCCCTGCAAGGCAACCGACTGTGTGCCGTAACTCCTCCTGGACCTTGCAAGTGTGCATTTGAAATGTCAGTAAATGTTGTTGCATTGACCCAAGTGTCTGAGTGGTCTTTGAGGGACATTGCCATGGTTTTGTTGCCTCTGCCCTAAATCTGCCTAGGGCAGTATCCCAATCCCATCGCAGGGATTCTCGCCAGGGTTCAAGACATAGCTAACTCCCCCTTGTGGGAAGAAGGATGAAGTCCTGTTCAAGACAGTTCAACATATTGGCCTGTGAGCTCCTATAAAAATTAAAGCTATTTAGTCAAGTGCCGGGTTGTGACCAGCACACGTGAAGCTACGGATGAAGGAGTACTCGAACACAAGAACCAGCATAAGAGAAGCTGAGGCAGAGACTAGCTCCAGACTAGCTAGCTTTCCAAATCCGTTTGCCTTGCGACTCTTACTGAGTACAGCAAATGGCCAAAAAATATTTTTGCAAGCAATAAATTGCATCACTGTGGTCAGCAGGAAAGGCACGTAGCGTAGCAGATTAAGATCAGAGCAATAGGGACAGGAATTACAGTTATCCTTAAGTAAAGGTTTAGAGGTCAGGGAACAGGTATGTCTTATTGAGATCAAACATTGAACAGATGCCTTCATCCATCCTGGAGGAGGTGACTTCATCTTTGTCCTCCTTCTTTACAATCTCTTTAACCATGCCTGAACCCCAACATTGTCCCTTTTTTTGTTTTGTGAATATGGAGTAGAGAATGGGCAGGGATGCCGCAATGGTACATTCAAAACGTAAGTCTAAAGTGTGGGCTGAGGTGCTCCCCATATGGGTTTGCCTCGCAGTTGCATCCCTCAAGGGTTTGGAGGCCGGAAGGTCAAATCCTTCATCTCTGATATTGGGTTCCTTTGTGGAGGTCAGTTGTAGGAAAGGTTTGATTCTTCAGCTGGGAATCCATCATGGTCCATCTCCCATGGAGATACAAGCGTAACCTCAGTCCCATGTTAATAAGTCTATGGGGTTTTCTTTATTGATTGGTGTCTGTATCTTTAAACCAAACTTGCCCGTGCTTAGAGTCCATTGTTTTTCCAAAATGGTAATAAGCTGTCATGTACACATCTTCCCAAATCTTTAAAAAATTTAAAGTCGTCGGGTGCCGGTAGCTCACACCTGTAATCCTAGCTACTCGGGAGGCAGAGATCAGGAGGATCATGGTTCAAAGCCAGCCTGGGCAAATAGTTTGCAAGACCCTATCTTCACAAAAAAAGCCTGGTGGAATGGCTCAAGATGTAGGCCCTGAGTTCAAGCTGCAGTACCACACACACAAAAAAAGTTAAAGTAAATAAAGCCCAAGCTAATAGAGCCCTGGCATCCTTTATTCCCATACTGCCCCTTTTTTGTTTTGGTAGCATGTTCTTAAGGATATGCTTTTAAGCATTTTACAATCACTTGTCCTTGGGGCAAGTTGATAAGATGGCATATTGCCACAATGAACAGATTTAGCAAATTTTTAGCTAGTATATGTTGGTCCATTGTTTGCTTTAAGTTGAAGAGGGACTCCCACAGCAGCAAAAGCGAAGAGACAGTGAGAGATAACTTGGGAGGAATTTTCCCAACAGCAAGTGATGCAAAAATAAACCCAGAGTAAGTATCTATGGTAACATGAATGAATTTAAGTCTCCCACATGAGGGTACATGAGTAACAGCCATCTGTCAAATTATAAGCAACAAAAGGGGTTTAGAAGAAGTGGGCTTACCTGGCATCCATTTTCAGTTCTGTCTGATATAGATGATATCCAACAACTTTAAAATGTTGTAGAATGTCAACAGACAACAGTTAAAAGTTTTCCAAAAAGCCAACAAAAGTAAACAGTTAGAAGGATGACTCAATTGAAAAATAGGTAGTTGTTAGAGTCATTTTGGGGTTTCACTGTAGATGTTTTTAAAGAAGGACCCAGATTGTGAATGGCAAAACTTAGAATAGTCATGATTAAAATACTGAAAAGTAGTTTGGTAATTGCCAGAACATTTAGTTATTTTCATTGTAGACTGCATTTTTAGGAAAACAGTTATGACTGACAGCATTAAAATAGGAGCACTAAATGTTCCTTGTTACAATTAGGGACATAAGCTTGCAAAAGTCTGTTATCATTAACTTTAGATTTTTTACAAGTTAGGGGGGACAATGTCTGTGATCCCAAATAGTCTTATTTTTATGTATGAG